AAATTCCACCCGAATCTTTTCAGATAGATGCCATTTTTGGCTCCAAAATAGTTTATAACGTTTTTTGAACATTGTTGTTTCTGAGTGTCGGTTAGCCGATTCTCTGTTTACTCAGTGTTTTTCTTACATAATTTCTAGAATTTATGTATGATATTAAAACTCTTGGATCCTGATATTTTATTAGTTGAGTTTCATAAAAAGACTACCAAGTAATAGTAAAACCCATGCTTCCTCTTACTACATGCTCATGTTTTGCATATGTATATCTGCAGCCGGCCAATTAAGGGTGAAAATAGGGTCCTGACCTGTCTACCAGGGCCCTCTCGATACTCATGCAAAAAAGCTCCAAAGCCTACTGTGCGGACATCAGTGCGAGCAACACTCACCACCAAATGAATCAAAGATCAAATCCTCATCATCGTACGTATATGTTGCACTTACCGCCCCGAAATAGCGTCAGCGACACTGACAGTGCCGCCATATTGAAAGCCGGTCACAGGATGAACCGGGAATTTAGGGAATGAGCGGTTCGTGAGCCTCCTCGCGCCATCTAGTACGATGCAGAGTAGAATGCAGACGGTACACCGACAGAGGACTATGTAGCGCAAAATGTGGAAACTAAGACGGTGTAGAGATGGCGCTAGTATCGGAAAATGCCCAATAACCGCAGTATTTGAAACTAAACAGGTAGACAGCGTAATCTCACCCTACAGTCCTTAGACTATGAATTGTCCCTGCTAGAGCAGCAAAACAAAGAACGATGTCATTGTAATTGATGGTGAGAAATTTTGTAGTCAGCTTATACAAGACATGATAGATTTCATAACATGCAGCTTCTACCGGCAGCTGATTCAAGAAATAATCCCAAAGGCCTACAAGGATTGATTAATGTATAACTACTTGAATATAACCCAACCTAATGCGTCTAAAACATTATCCTAGATAAAATGAGATATCGTATCATCATCTATGAGAATTTGTCAGCCATTCCTCTATTTACCATAGAAGGTGTTCCAATATTTCGTGGATATAGTAGTACCACGTACTTTTAGACTCAAAATAAGTTGATTGGGCATAATTTACCTTCGTGCAAAAGTGCTTTGTTTGTCCGTTAGGGGTGTCAAAGTTTTCTTTATAAAACACTTTTTTGTGATATGATTTAAATGAAATTTGAAACAGGCTAGACGTCCTAATATTTGGCTTTTGCAAAAAACCCGAAAGGGTTCGAAGGATGAAAACTAACCCCACCCCTACATAAATTATAGAAGAATTTTTTTGCAACTGGCCAACGACTCTGATTTTTTTTCATTTAAAAGATTGTTTGATTTACTTCATCTTTTGTCAGTCTTAAAAGGCCGTCTCGCATAGTTTTCCAGAAAAAAAATGTTTTTTGGAGCCGGTTCCTACAAACTTTTCTTATTACATCAAGTGTTAAATTGTTTTGCGTCGTAATGTTATGTGCAGGAACGAAAATTGTGGTCATACTGAACACCTTTTATGAAAGATTTGCACTATTGCGTGTATTAATGTATTAACCAAAATTGTAATAAGTAATATCATACTTGTTTATTTTCGCTGACTAGTATTAAGAATTAATGAGATGCTTGGAAAACTCTTGATGTAACTCATTTTTTTTTCTCCAAGAGAATCTCTGAGATGCCAGTTTTTATAGGAGGCAGAAATGCAGGAAATAAAAAGATCTGCTAAATAAACAAAATCAGAGTCGTCGGGAAAGATGTCAATTATTCTGTAATTTATGTAGGGGTAGTTTTCACCTTTTTAGAACCTTTTAGAGTTTTCCGTAAAAGTCAAATAGGTATTAGAACGTCTAGCAAATATTCCTAAATTTCATTTAAATCCGACTGTCGGTAATCGAAATATCCTAAAAATGTGTTTTGAAAAGAAAACTTTGACGCTCTCTAACGGACAAACTAAGCACTTTTGTATAGAGGTAGATCATGTCCAATAGACTTACTTCGAGTCTAAAAAGGGAGTGGTCCTACTATGTCCTCGGAATATTGGGACACCCTGTATATTCTTGCCGCTGTCTAGATGAGCATATAGCAAAAAGCTGGCTGCAGCGCCATCCAGCTTTTCAATATTTCAAAGTATATATTAAGCAAATAGAGAAACAACTGTGACAATCTCATAGATGTACGGTATTTCATGAGATATGTTTCTAGCAAATTAAACCATTATACCTAGAATTAATTTTCTTTATAAGCCCAATTTTAGATAAGCATTCCTACAGATTTTGCTAAAATAACAGAAGCTGAGATGCTGTTGCGGATATACAAGAGCATCATTCTATCTAAGCTTGACTACGGTAGCATTGTTTACTCATCTGCAAGACCGTCACTGCTTAAAAAACTTGATACAGTTCACAACCAAGGATTACGTCTCTGCCTTGGAGCATTTCGTACAACTCCAGCAGCTAGCCTCTATTGCGAATCCGGAGTTGAACCTCTATCCATTAGACGTAAAAAACTTGCACTATCGTATTCTGCACAGATTCAAACACGACCATTCCATAGAAACTTTTCTATCATTTTCAGTACGGATGAGAGCTACATCTGTCGCCCCACAATAACAAGACCTCTCAGAGTCCGAGTTAAAGAATATGCCGAGGAAATTGGTATATCATGTAACCCTATCTATAATGTTAAACACAGAGAATCTCCTCCATGGCTGTCACCCAAAATAAATGTGAATCTCGAGCTGACTGCACTATCTAAGAATGACCATCCATCTGAACTCATAAAATCACGTTTTATGGAAATCGTTTCTAGATATCCGGCAGCAACAGTTATCTATACAGATGGATCGCGAACTGACAGTGGTGTCGGCTGTGCTATAGTAGTCGATCAAACTGCACATCAATGGACACTATCACCAATAGCATCCATATTTACTGCTGAACAATATGCTATTTGGCAGCCCTACGATACTGTGACATGTCGAATAACATAACAACAGCTATTAGAGCTAGTGACTCGCTCTCAGCACTTCAAGGCCTAATGAACTATGCATCTCGAGATTCCTTAACTGTGATGTGTCTTGAAACTGTCAAACATCTCTTAAATAAAGGGGTAAACGTAAAATTTCTTTGGTTGCCAGGACACGTTGGTATACAGGGGAATGAAGCTGCTGATATGGCAGCGAAAGCAGCAGCAGCGCAACAAAACATCGACATCCCTGAAATAAAAATGTCTGATCATAAAAACTACCTCATAAACCGTATACAGCGACACTGGCAAATTACATGGGGTAACACTGATACCCACTTAAGACAGATAAAACCTAGTGTAGGATTATGGCCACATCCTATCAGACTGCCACGAGAGGAATGGGTGCGCATACATCGCTTACGCTTTGGCCACACACGTCTTACACATGCACATCTTTTGCTTGGAACAGATCCGCCCTTGTGCACTGGATGTAACTCTTCACTCACTGTACGCCACATTATCTGCACATGTCCGATATTGTCGCAATATCGAGTGATCTATGGACCATTTGATAACCTGACAGAGAGTCTCACACAACCAGAAAAACTGAAAAACGTCATATCATTCTTAAAAGTATCTGGTTTCTATTGGAAGATCTGACCTAATGAACTTTTTGGAAATGAACCATTTTAATTTTTGTGTATCTTATTCTCAACTGAGATTAAATTAATGTTATGTAACGATGATTTTGCATCATACCTACCTTAGCTTAGTATTGTCATCTTGAACTAAAAGAAACATGTAACAATAGAATTTGGATAAATCGAAATACTTACGTGAACGCAAACAAGATCGTGAAATGCAGATAATGACCCAAAAAAAAAAAAATTAATATTAATGAATATATGCCTGACAAATTTAGTCGTGTAACATTTCCCAGAGATTATCTTTTGTTGCTAATAGAATCTGAAAGTAAATGACATATCCTTTTCGATTAATATCTGGAATTTGCGTAGTTAGTTTTTTTAAAATGCGACACTTACCACTTAGACATGTAAGAGATTATATATTTTATACTTTAGATTTATATATTATATTTATATATTATTGAATACGGCTAATAACCAGAGAAGTTGACGCCGTCAAAAAAAAAAAAAAAAAAAAAAATAACCGATGAAGAATTTTCTATATACACTGAAAATATGTATCAGATTAAGGCTTTTTCAAACAAATCCATACATATTTACGAAAAATATTAGATATTTCATCAAAATTTAAAATTGACATTTAAAAATCTTTCCTCATATATTTTCTAAATATTTGGAAAAAACATCGCAAAAATATATGAATTATGTATACTACAAATATCTATAATGGATATTTTATAAATATATAAGAAATATATTTATTAAATATTGAAGAATCTGTCGCTACAAATATTTAACAAACATTTTTTAAAAATATTTAATAAATATTTAATGCTATGGGGGCATTTTATATTGGATAATTTTTTGGACGCGGGAGTAGAGCATTGAATTGTCTATTTTCATTGATACAAGCCATCTGAAACTTGTGCGGGTTGGATTGATCGAAGCATAAGCGCCCGCAGGGGGGAGAGGCAGGGGGTCGTGCCATCCCGATGGGTGTATATGGTTAATCTTAAAATTTGCATATTTATCATAACTTTGTATACAAGTTTGAGGATTTTCTAGATTCCACAACGGAAAATATGCTATCCGCCGTTCTTCAAAAAGTTTTGGGGTCCGCTTCACTTCCACAACAAGTTACATTTTGCCGATGATTGTCCCCCTGAGAAAAATGCCTGCCGGCGTCCATCGACCGAGGTCGCCGAAACTTTAGTGAACAATCACAATCTGACGCATGTAGTTTCATTTGGCGACGAGGAAAGTATGGAAATTTATAAGCTAGATAGGCGTAGCGAAAGGCTTTGTATGGATACTGGGTGGCGAAATACTCTAAACACTTCTAGAATTAATAATACAAAATAATAGTTGGAAAAACATTTATTGATATTTACTAATACATTAGCAGATGCTGTCTATAAAAATGTACTTATTATATAAGGTTAAAGAGAACGTATTGAATTCAGTTGAAAGAGGATCATTAATCATAAGCTCCTAGTTCCTACAATAATTTGATTTGTAGTTAATAAAATTGATTTTTACTCATCATGATGCTAAATGATCATTCGGATAAGTTAGTATTACTGTACATGTGATCATAAAGTAGTACATTACATATCTAGCCTGAGAAGTGCGTCATTTTTATAGCCTGAGGCACAGGTATGTAGATTCACTGATAATACTATATCTCTTCCGTTTTCAAATAAATTAAGTAATGTCAGAAAGCCTGTAACTACACTGAGATGCTTTCTACTCGTTGAGAGCTGTTCCGCAGCCGTATTTAGGCTTGGTCCCGAGATAAATTTCCGGAACTGGTTTGTTACCGATTCTTTGGCTTGGTTTCTTATTGTGCCTTTAGGCACCCTCAAGGCGGTTTTCGAACCTATAAAGGCTGTTGACGATCCTTTTCTTGCGAGCTCATTTTCTGGGTTACCTAAATGTTATGGCACCCACATCAAAGTTACCTTGTTGTTTCGCCCGTGTGCTCAGTTCTTGTTGGCATTTCCAGATCACTGCAGATATGACTCTAGGACTTTTTAACGCTTCGAGTGACGCCCGACTCTCAGTGTATATTGTCACAGTTGGGATGCGTGGCAAAAAAATTCATTACATGGAATTATTTTAAGTAGGCTAACGTAACATCCTTCTATTATTGTACGTACGCTGATTATTTACTCTTGCACAATGCAAGATGGCATACACTTCTGCCTGAAATCCAGAGGTGTGTCTTCTCGAGTTAGTAGTGAAAGAATACATCTCTTATATTTTCTTTAACTGTCTGAGTTTATTTAATATAAATTACATCTTATTTCTAAAATCTAGTTTGTTCCTTAACCGCTTCTCTTACGTTAAGTGTCTTTTAAGTGTCAGTGTTTAAGTCAGTAAGCTCTCAGAAGATCACATAGAATATTACAGGAAGTGAGAACACGAAAATTATAAATTGCATTTAATAGTAATTTTGCGGTGTCTCAAAAATAATAACGACATTATAACAGCATCTATCACTGGCAATGTTTGAAATGATGTTATTGTGATGAATTCAAGATGAACACGATATTGTTTTTTGGACTACATAATATAAGGTTACAATAAATTATGAGTAAACTTTGTAATACCTATTTGAATGTTCGTTTGAATATGGTAGAATATGTGATGAGATGGTTATTGTAAATGTATGGCTTGTAAAAAATGTACGATGTGTATCACAGCACATATACTTGGTAACATTGATCATTGATAACTAGATACAACCTCCTTTAAGGGGTACCACCATTGGTCAAAAAACGTGTGTTTTGTTCATTTTTTGTGGAAGACTAAGATAGTAAAGTGGTATTGAAGGAAGATGTTGAGCATACAGCTAAGTACAAATAGAAAAAAAAAATCATAAACATTCATTCAAAAATTGTGGCAGAGTAGCCATTTTCACGAGACGCACATAATTTGAGGAGCTTTGCGGTACAAAGCATACTCGTAGCTACGGCAAATTTGGATCTCGAAAAAAAAACAACCCTTTGTACATGTTCACGTTTATAGGTAAATAAATACGTATGGGATTTAAAAAAATGTTTTTTTGTGTATTTATCTTCAGAATCTTGTTTTAAAGATATTGTAAAAAAATGAGTGAAAGGAATGACAATTGTTCGAGTTATACTGCGTGCCGCTTTAAAAGGTCGCGTTTTTGATTACGTTTTTGTTACGTAAATAAGTATATATGATCAATAGCTCCCTCTATTGTTAGTACCTCATTGCCATTTCTTCCAGAAAAAATGTTCCTAAGCCGTTTCCACGTAAAAAAAGAGTTACAATATGAATCATTTTATGGTTAGAGTAAGTTATACAAATTTTTGCACAACCCGTTGTCAGTGTCTCTTTTTGTACAGTCAACATTATCATGAAATTTGCAGATACTTCTAACCCTTTATTCAATTTTCTTTCTTTCTGAATGCGGTTCTGAATCTGTTTTCCTTCACTTCCAAAACTAGGTTATGTCTTACGTATTATAATAGTCATTTATTTTAAATGACCAGTTGAGGGATATATGTAGATCATCTACCCAACCAAATAAATCATTTCAAACATTGTCATCAGGTTCACTGGTGTCTTCTCCAAACTTCAGAATAATCTTCTCCAAACTGGTGTAAGTGCCAATTACTAAACCAATTATAGCAAAAAGTGCTATCAGAATGTTCTTTCCAATGATCCATTTCCCCCAAGCTCCTTTGAGCTCATACCAGTACAAGCTGATTTCGATTATCGCTGGGAAGCCAAGACCTAGTCCAGAGAGGGTCAGCGCTCCAAATAGGGAGATGAAAAGGTCTAGGTATGGTACTGCTGCAGCCAGAAGGACTGAAAAAATAGGTTTTATTATACAATTTTCGTTTTTCATTCCAGATTACTCAATCTGAACTTATCAAACTAATCGATTCAGTATTCTGACGCAAAATGTAAGGTTTATGGTCCACAGCAGTGGCGTATAAGAGGGGGGTCAACCCCCCCCCCCAGACGTTACAAAATACTGGGAAAGATTGCCAATTTTTAGGCAAACTTTGTATTACTTTCTCGTGACGGACTAGAGGTTTCGTAACGGGAGACTCCAGTAAAGCAGGATTCTATGTCCAAAACATTGATTCCTGCTACGAACCTTGAAACATGATATCATCTTTAGCTATTTTTTCCGAGCTTTGCGATTAAATATCGATACGAGTGACAAAATCTGGATATGGATTTTGAGACGCGTAGATCGGACCCTCAAATATTTTAAAACTTTTTTTAAAGCCTTAATAGTCATTTTGTATCGCATGAGAGATATACAGTGCTTTTTAAACATGCTTTTTACTCCCCGCACGGGTCCAATTAGCAACCTGAAATTCGGGGTAATAACATTGATACATGAATGCCATATTTTAGCATATAGGACGCAGTTGGAGATTTCAAGATGGCGGCTGGGCGTCAGTTTGGAGCATTTCTTTAAATGGAATTGGGGGTCATGTGATAACTCATTTTGAAGCTCTAGAATATAAAAGTATCATCTTTCAAAATAGCGAAATGGAAGGCCATCAAAGTTGGGCGTTTTAGTACATTGAGTCGTACAACCAGTCACCAAAACGCTATATTATATCAATTTTATTCTCTTGGGAGGGTCTATCCGAATATTTGATAAAATGAGACATTCCATTTAAAAAAGTGCCAAAATCTGTAATTTCTTTAATCTGAATGTCCTATACTCGTATTCTTACTGGACCTCTGATCATCTTGATGAAGAAGATTTGTATAAAATACTATAACGGTTTGATGATCATTTGTTGAGTTATATTCGTTTCAGTATACAGGGTTATCCAAATTAAGTGTCCACCATTAGTAACTTTGTTATTAGTGAAAATACAAAGTTGTTTGAATTAGAAAACTAGTAGCATTTTTAACGCTGGTAAAAATGAGAAATAAAAAAAACAATTGAGAGTCGTTATTTTGATTTTTTTTCAGTAAAATAACATTTTTTTAAATGGAAACCCCTGTATATTATAATTTTTTCTGTTAAAGCATCAAATTTTAAACAAAAAAGTTCATAATGACTTTTCCGCTAAAGTCAAAAATAAAGTCAAAATAACGATAAATATTTTTAATTATTTGCAGTATTATAATATTAAGACGGCTATGAAAACAACATGGCGTTCGCGATTTGACAGCATTAAGATAAGCGACAAATTGTTAAACTGGACATACTCGCAACTAGAAGGCTTTGGAAAACAATGATAAAATCAAATAATGTCAAACATTAGTGTAAATACTTGTTTATAAGCTTTATTGTGTCATTAATTTAAAGAAAAATGTTCTCCCATGAAGAAAAGTGTGATATGTTAGAATGCTATTTAGTGTGCAGAAAATCCTCCTTGAGAGCAAGAGAATACTACAGTGAATTATATCCCGCTCGCATTCAACCGTATGAACGATATTTTCTGAGACTTTATCGAAAATTTAGGGGCAACGAAAATGTTTTTGCTAAAACAAGGGCAAAAAAAGAATTCATAATAAGCGAGGCCACGGAAATTGCAGTTATTGGATATTTTGAAGCTTATCGTGAGAATTCAATAGCAGATATTCTCAAGGACTCTAATTTCAGTTATGGTACTGTTCAAAGGATTTTAAAAAAATACAAATTTATTCCGTATAAGTACCGACCAGTTCAAACGCTTTTGGCAGGGGATCCAGAGAGAAGACTTATTTTTTGCCATTGGTATCTTAGCTTCTGTCGCCAAAATGTAAATAACTTTCGTTACCTTTTATGGACAGATGAATCAAATTTTTCAAATTCTGGAATGTTTAATAGAAAAAACCACCATTATTGGTCAAGAGAAAATCTTTTGTTAGTACATCCAAGAGGCCCACAAGTCCGTTTCAGTTTCAACGTGTGGTGCGGTATAATTGGTTCAAAAATTGTTGGCCCGTTCTTTTATGAGGGAACCCTAACTGGTGAAAGATATGTGGAATTTATGTCAGAAATTCTGACTAATTTCTTAGACGAATTGGATCTTATAAGTAGACATCATCTGCATTTTCAGCAAGATGGCGCACCTGCCCACAACTCCAGAGGTACTTATCATTTTCTAAGTACTACTTTTAATGATCAGTGGATAGGAACAAATGGCCCAATACAGTGGCCTCCCAGATCACAAAAAAAATTGTTATTGTATTTTGTAAGATTATAAGTTGATGTTGAAAATAAAGTTTGTCGATACAATTTAATTGTTTCAGATTGGAGGCCATAACTTCAACAATTTGTAACCTAGGAGAAAAGTTATTGTGAGCTTTTTTGTTTAAAATTTGATGCTTTAACAGAAAAAAATATAATATACAGGGGTTTCCATTTAAAAAAATGTTATTTTACTGAAAAAAATCAAAATAACAATTGTTTTTTTTTATTTCTCATTTTTACCAGCGTTAAAAATGCTACTAGTTTGCTAATTCAAACAACTTTGTATTTTCACTAATAACAAAGTTACTAATGGTGGACACTTAATTTGGATAACCCTGTATAGTGTAAAAACGCTCACTTTGACAGCCGCGATCTTGTATGATAGTAATTTTATATTCTTCGCTTATAGAGTACTCATAAGGAGCTTCAAAATATGGTACCACATGAACGTTCATGAAGGAGCATTGCAATTAAAAAATGTTATAACCGCCCCACTCTACATTTTAGCCTTCTAACATGACTCGTTCAAAAAATAAGAAGAGGGACCTTCCTGAAAAGCACTGTATGTATATGTTTATTTTGTGATAGGTCATAAATTATATGGAAAGAAAAAACAGGAAAATAAGCCTTTCGGGGTTTTCCTAGTGAGATCCATGTTTATCTTTTATCAATTTTTCTTCGAAAATATTGAAAAACAAAGAAAATATTCCATCAGAAAAGCACGGTGCTTTAACGGGTAAACGACGTTTTCTGCACTACTTTTTAAAATCTATTCTTTCAAGAAGTTTAAAAATACTCATAACACTTGTATTGTGTTCACTTTACAAGTTGAAAATATAAAACTATGCAAATTACCTCAAAATTGTATAAAACATATAGTTGCCTGTTTTTGGGGGCAAAATGACATTCTTTACAAAAATTTCGAAACAGAAATCTTGAAAGCAAAACTAAAATGTTATGTTAATCTGTCGAAACGTTGTCTAATTTGATATTAATTTTTTTATGTCATGACCACTCACGATTTTGAAGACATACCACCCGCCATGATCCCCACGCCACTGGTCCACATACCACTCAACAATCAAAGATGACTATATTTTTAGGAATATTAATTTTGGTTGTTCAAAATAAAATGTATATTCCATCGAAACTCAAAATCATACTTACAGCATCCAGTGACCAACAATGTTCTAATAATGTATTCGTAAACGGTATTGAAAGGACTCTTCTCGTATTTTGGCAGCAAGTATTGTCGCCAAACTATGTCGATGGAGACGTACATTTGAAGCGAGTGTGTGACGAAAATGGCAAACACCAACATTAATTTGCAGATCAGTGCGGGTCTGAAAAAGCAGATTATTACCGCGATTACCTACCACTCATAAAACGTACAGACAATCTGGGAGACACAGTGAAACTGATCGTATTGGGTATGGTCATGGTTTTCGGAACTGAAGTTATTCGCATCGATGAGATTCTTGCGTTTAAATATTTTAAATCATAGCTATTCCGATTCTTCTCTTTTTATTTTAAAAGCCTAAAGTTTGCAATTGTGCCATTTTTGTCAAAAATTCACCCATTTAGTAACTTCCAATCTATTTATTGTAACATCCTCGTATAGCTGGGACCTTGGGTGGCAGTGCAGTGCTCCTGGCACATACGACACTCCATGAAGGGTGTCAATTGTCTATCGCTGAAGACACTGGACACACAATTGGTGGAGCGCTCCTGAAATCTGTTACTGTTTCGCAAATTGGGAGTCAATCAGAATTATTGACTAACGTATTCCTCTTGGTGGTTAGTCAATGTCAGAATATAGACCGCACGTACTAGCGGGTTGTGTCGCGAAATACCTGGACTAGGAAGCTCACAAACTTCGCAATGAGCCTTAGGTTTTTGAACGAACCATATAACTTCAACTTTCGCTAGAATTTGGTCTACTTACATATCTGATCCAATTGTATAGGAAATAGACCCTCCAACGTCTTTTCCATATGCCAAGTATCCAAGCAAACCCATGGCTACGTAGAGTAATACTATTACAGTCATACCGATGTTGAGAACACCGCAAGTTCCTCCAAAGCATTGTGGTGTCTTCATCTCATTTTCGAGTGGCATTATCTAGAACAAAAAATGTATAAAACATAATATGTGTAGGGAGAGGCGCAGTGGCGCAGGATTCCTGTTCACGAAGTTGTTCGTCCCGGAAGGGACTGGGGAGTAGGTAACCTTTGTTCAAGTTAAATATATAAAAAATCAGTTATCCAATTAACCGGTTATTTTTTCTTCTTCTAATCTGCGCCACTGAGTGCAATCCATCTCGCTCTGCTTCGCGCTGCCAGAATACATTCGGTAATTTCTGGCTAGCCGCGATTAAACCAAATATGAGATATCGCTTGATAACACTAGTCGCATTTATGAGAATTACAGTCTGTCTGTTAAAATGACAAGAGGCCAATGTCAAGAAAGTGTATAATCGATTATTGCCACGTTTTAAATCATCCAGCTGTACTGAGATGTAGATGTACTTGTCAACCCTCACATGCTATGATGTGATAATAATATGGAACTAATATTTTTTCTGTAACTAATAGTGAATTAGTAGTTTAGAAAAAAGTCCATTAGATCCCACTCAATTTCGAATAGTAGCATGATTATCAGATACCCAGTTAAAAAAATTGTCAATTTTGGCTACAACTCACTGTACCTTTGACAATAATGCAAAATAAAATTCCAAATTGACGACAGTTAAAATATTTTGTTTTACATATATATATATATATATATAATGGGTGATTTTTTTTGCTAGTATCTTTTTGGCAACACTGTTTTTGACAGATGGCGCGTGAATCGTGTCTTGTGTCGTTGTCAAACTTGTTCAGTTTGGTCTATAATTTAACCATGAATCGACTTACGAACGAACAACGCTTGCAAATTATTGAATTTTACTATCAAAATTCATGCTCGGTTAAGAGAGTGCATCGAGCACTGCTTCCAATTTATGGGCAATTTGGTCGGCCTACTGAGGGAGCTATTCGGAAGCTTGTGACTAAATTTCGAACCCAGTTTACATTATTGGACATTAAACCACCAACACGCAGACGTAGAGTGAGGACCGAAGAAAATATTGCGGCTTTATCCGCCAGTGTTAGTGATGACCGTGAAATGTCGATTCGCCACCGTTCGCAGCAATCGGGCCTCTGTTCCTCCACTACGTGGAAAATGTTGCGACAGGATTTGGGCGTAAAACCTTATAAGATACAGCTAGTGCAAGAATTGAAGCCACACGACCTCCCACAACGTTTCCCATTTGGTGAATGGGCGCTGGCTAAGTTGGAGGAAGATCCACATTTTTATCGAAAAATTGTGTTCAGCGACGAAGCTCATTTCTGGTTGAATGGGTACGTTAACAAGCAAAATTGCCGCATCTGGAGTGAAGACCAGCCAGAAGCATTGCAAGAGCTACCAATGCATCCCGAAAAAATCACTGTTTGGTGTGGATTATGAGCCGGTGGCATCATCGGGCCGTACTTCTTCAAAGACGACAACAAGGCGATAACTGTGAATGGCGAGCGCTACCGTGCGATGATAACAAACTTTTTTTGCCCAAAATGGAAGAGCTGGACTTGGCTGACATGTGGTTTCAACAAGACGGTGCCACATGACACACCGCACACGAAACAATGGCCCTATTGAGAGGCGAGTTCGGTGAACAGTTTATCTCACGTTTGGGGCCCGTCAATTGGCCGCCTAGATCGTGTGATTTAACGCCGTTGGACTATTTCTTGTGGGGTCATGTTAAGGCTAATGTCTACAGGGATAAACCAGCAACGATTGACGCACTCCAAGCCAATATTGAAGCATTTATTCGTGAGATACCGGCCAATATGTTGGAGAAAGTGTGCCAAAATTGGACCTTGCGCATGGGCCATCTAAAGCGGAGCCGCGGCCAACATTTACATGAAATAATCATTAAACATTAACCCTTAACTGGTAACGTGCAAATTTGGAACACAACTGGTAACGTGCAGTCTGTGAGACTGGCACCTTTTCAAATCAAAAATAAATAAATGAACCTTATAATTTTTTACAAATATATATGAAGGTATGTTAGTTGCATATTCTCAGTAATAATTTTACATAAAATATCCGGGAAAATTAACGTGAAAAAAAATTAAATAATAATTATCAACTTGAAAAAAAAAATTGGTAGTGTAATTTCCAAGGGAGCATGATAATGGAAAAAATGATAAATGAAAGCAATGTTATATATTTTACTATTAATGATAAATGAAACAATACATCAATGAAACAAAACGTTAAGAAATTTTGCATTTCAAAGGTCCCAGCAGGTCCTAAATCTAAGGCTTATTCGCACAAGTGTTGCATTTGGGATGTGAACACTGCAGGCATACTGGTTTCCTACACTCCAAGCACAGATATTTTGTCATTCGATGTGTGGTCTTATGACACAAATAACAGGCTTTTCGCTTTTGCAACATCCAATTTTCCTGTCTTTCGGGTAAATTTTCCGTTCTGTCGGGTAAATTTTCTTCTGGTCTGCCGAGGATACGTGATATGGTGTAGCGTAACTCGCGAGGCAAACGAGGATTCTGTAGTCGTCTTTCCATGTGTCCTTGGACAAGTTTGATAGCTAGTTCTTTCGCAAATACAGATTTGTCTTTCATCACTTTATTGTTTTTGTAACACTGATGTAAGATGTATGAATTCACTACTGAGACGTCAATAATACGGTAAAAAACAGCTAAAGGCCATCTACGTGTACGACGACTAGAACTACTTTTTGCACATTTCTCATCAAGAGAATCCACCCCTCCTTTGTTGGCATTATAGTATGCAATTATTTCAGGTTTCATTGTCTCTGGATCAGTAAAAGTCCTATCATGCATTGTGGAGATAAGTATGGTAGCCTTGTTTTTCTTTCCAACATGGGAAATTATAGTTGAGTCTTCACGAAAGCCGTACAGAGTTGATCCATGTTCCCTTGCCTTGTTCGGTAAAAAACAAGGTGGAATTTCCTTTTTATTTTGCGGTTGCTCCCAAATAAAGGCTGTGCAAGACGTAAAACGGCTTGAGTTGGCTTAGAATAATTCCTGAATTCAGGGTCAAGTCCAATCCCATCGGAATCTTTTCCTGCGTATATATACGCATTGTAAAGGTAGGCATTTCTAGCATCTGTTAAAGCCATTATTTTTATCCCATATTTGGAAGGCTTGTTTGGCATATACATTTTGAATCTAGCTCTGCCACGAAAGCTCACAAGCATTTCGTCAACGGTGGTCGACTGGCCAATTCCATAGACATTTTGGCTATTCTCTATGAAACTGTTGAAAATAAAAGAAATTGCTGCTACAGGGTCCTGCTTTTTCCTTTCGTTCCTGTCCTCTGGATTGTCAAACCTCACTGCAGACAGAAGTGTAGCAAATCGTTTTTCGCTCATCACTGCCCTGAAGATGTCTCTTCCACTTCCATCTGTCGCAAAAATAGTTTTGATATTCTCATGGTTTGAATTGAAAACAGATGTGAATATCAAAAGTCCAAAAAAGCTCTCAACTCAATCTCGTCAACGTCTTTCAATGTGGTAGAATCCACTTTATACTTTGTTCGCATTGAACTTATTTTATGATTTGTCCATTTCACAATATGTTGTAACATTTCTTTGGTAAATAACAGTTGCCACACAGAAATAGGATCTGCTTCTTCTCCGAGCTGTCGAGCTTTTCCTTTGATAACAGGAACTTTCGTTACAATATTATGTTTCCTGGTACGAGATATTGGTCGAACTTCCGTTGTACACCATCTATGACGGTTTCTTCCAAATAAATACTTTCTCTCATCCACATTTTGTTGTTCTGTAACTTCGTCATTCTCGTCACTACTTTGAGATAACTCACTTCTACTATCATGATCGGAAATTTCAAATTCCTCGTCTGAGGTATTGCCCAAGTCACTAGATTCACTATATACTGCGTCATCTTCTTCATACCAACGCTGAAGAGTCTCCTCAAAATCCTTATCACCGTAACGTACACGTTTTGACGGGCCTGCCATGGCTACAAGTTGCAAGAAATTCTTACACAAACCGTAACGTGCCGTCTCACAGACTGCGCTGAAGTAACAATTACAACTGTCTCAAAGATGGTTTTCCCGAATTTACCACTGTTCATGCGGTAGACGGGGCACCAATAGGAGAACGATTAGATAAGGTCATTGACCGCAGCGCAGGTACAGTTTTGTTCCAACATTGAAAAAAAAATTGCTTGCAGTCTCACAGACGGCACGTTACCAGTTAAGGGTTAAATTATATCGACCGTTCTATCGACTCAAATAAAGATTTAATCGTTTTTTCAAATTTTGTTGTGCTTTTTTTGAAAATCAAATCCTATACCTCTTAAAAAATTACCCATTATATATATATATATATATATCCGTCATATTCCATCCGCTACTTTCATTTAGATATCTAATTCGTTACCAGTAATCTCAAAAACATACAAACTTGATTTGAGCGTCAGCCGAACATTTGTTGCAAACATATCCGTCATATTAGATTCGCCCTTCTGTTAGTTGGCTAATGAAAATAATATTCACAATCAGCGTCCTTGAAAACATATGAATGACATTTCCTGATGACATATACTGGGTCTTCCTAGTTTTGGCCTTGTTTTAGGACTTTTGAACCACTGTGAGACTGAAAGACCGCTCTTAAAGGAAAGATGCCGCCCATAGAATTGACAACCCGTCACTGTTTGGCTTGCGTCTCCATGACCAAACATATACGATGTCGTTTCAGGCTTATTAGCAATCATCAGAGCTTGGAAAGCACGACATACTGGGTTTTTCAGTAGACCACATTCGCTTGTTTCCTCTCCGTTGTGGGTCGATAAGAAAAGACCTGTAGACGAGGAAAAGGGTAATTTAACTAACTAGTGAAGAAACAAGTACAAAGGTATTGGTAATCCAGTAACAACGCAGAAAAATTAAAGCCAGAAAGGTCGACGTGAATCAAGGACAAACTCTTTTCTGTCTTGATTTCCTCTGCCTTATGGCTGCAGCTCAAGATCCTGGTACTTGACAAGACCTATACCCTATACTGTACTATTGATTACCATCAAGCATGAAATGGTGTTTTATACATTTGGTCATGCCCACAGAGACAGAAAGCAAACATATTCAGTTCAGCCTGCGGCAAGAAGTGTTTATCTACATTTGAACTTTTATAGAGAAAACTGGCTACAGGGCACCAAGATGCTTCAGTCTACGTCGACTTACTTATGGGTCTATAAAAACAAATTATTATTAGGACAGAGCCGTTTTACACACAAGAGAATTACTCCGAAAATTACGGTCATAATAATGCCGAAAATTTTTGCTGTCGTATTACACGTAAAAGAATTCTTGTGAATATTTTCATGGTAAAAGTATAAAACCCGTTCTATAGAATATGCTCGAGAATCGGCGCAGAGGGTTATTTCCGTGCATGTCAATATCAAATGTCAACGTCAACAACATAACCTCACTTAACATTTGTGGTTGTGGTCCTGTTCGAGTCGTACGAAGGAGCGTTTATTGTTATTGTTTATTCATAATTTCGTGGAATCGGGAAGAAGCGAAGAAGTTACACTGTTGTTGGAGGAGTACCAATAATGACCAAACCTGTACAAGGTGAAGTCACCCAATTACACAAACAGAAATTTGCGGCGTCAGGCGCTGGATGCGATAGTCCAAGCATTGAGAAGTTTTATAATATTAACCAAGATCTCGATTTCAAAAATAAATTTAAATCAACGACGTCTGTTGTCTTTCCGATTATATTGGACGTCATACCCATTAAGGTTATGTCCATTCGAAAATATTACTCTAATGCGCAGGCGTATCATGAATTACTCTGAAATTTTGTTTGCTTGTGTCATACAGGTTGTAGAGAAAATCTTCAATATTTTTTCCATGCAAATTTTCGGCATAATTATGACCATAATTTTCGGAGTAATTCTCTTGTGTGTAAAACGGCTCGTAGGAAACGTTTTCTAGTTTATTTAAAACTTCAGGTTATAAGCATGACTTTAAATTTAACTGTAAAATTTATGGTCACCATAAAGTATCCAAAAGTTGCAAACAGGTCGAAAAGTATCTGATTCAATGGGAATTCTAAAAACCATTTTATCTGCGCTCAAAAAATATCAGGGTCTCGAGAAGCCACTAAAACACACTTTTAGGTTTTTGATATTTTTCGGTTTCTTCATCAATGACTAGTACCAAACATTACCAGACAAACTGACGGAAATGAGTGACGTGACTTTTCATGGTGATCTAAAAAAATAATATCTTGAAGTAAAATTTTTAGCGTCTTTTCTTGGGCATTAAACCTTTATCGATTGCAGTTTGCTTGATAATATTTACCATGCTTATAGCTTCCAATGCAAATAACGCCGTTCCAAAAAACAAGGGATAGTCTCTCCAGTCCCCAATTGCTTGCCTATTTTCGAAAGTGATGTCCTCCTGGATGAGATAGTAAAGAATGATTCCGAAGCTGGCAACAGTGACAAAGTTGGCTATGCTCGATAGAGGAGCTAAGTACTTCAGGCTTCGAATGTAGTTGATCAGTATTAGCGGTAGGAGGAAGATGAGCATTATCAGCCTGTGAAGAAAGACAACTATATGATGTTGATAATCAGGAGTGATATATTTTTTTTTAAATCCGAAATCGTTACGTGAATTTATTTATCACGTGTACTTGTACTACGAGATGTCCATCATATTTTGACATGTGCAGCCTTTGAAACAGGAATCAATAACGTTTTGAAATTGTTCGAACATTCACAATTTTACAATTTTCAAACCAATAATAGACAATTTTTTTTAATTTGGTGATACTGTGATACTCGTGTCTCATTTGGATGGCACATATATTATCATATGCTGCGGAAAACATCGAATCCCGGTTTAGTCATTATTAGCTCTACGGACCCCGATATTTCCCCAAATTAGTGAAATTGGAGTGACAAAGGCTGATTAAGCTTAATTTTCCCCGACTGCTTCAGAAGGATGATTATGTTTAGCAAGCGTCTTCGGTATGTATGTCTTATGTATCCAAAAATTCTATTCCACAGGCTACAGGCCAAATGGCTTAATCGATTTGAACATATGAGGTGTCGTTGGATTCGTCTATCAGTGCGAGTAACACTGGTCATATTAAAATTTAATAAAAACAAAATGGCGGATTTTAGTAAATAAATACAGCCTTGAAATTCATGGACTACACTTATGACATGATGAATTTTGGCATATGAGGTGTCTCATGATTTCTCTAGATAGCAAAATAGAATCTTCATTATATCTCAATTACTGCAGTCGGGCTATTTGTTGTATTTTTATAAAATGTACTTGTGACGTGTTATGTTTGATTGCAAACCTATACCAGATAAGCATTTGTATCATGTAGTTTTTAAGCTGAGTAATTGAATAATCATTATACATATTATCGTCTCTTTGATTTTATCTCGTCAATAACACACAAATAATTGTTTGCCTGTAAACAAACATCTCAAACTATTCCTAAAAGTATGGACACGCCCAAGTATCTCTAAAACTAAGGGTACTAGGAAACATTTTAAATACAATAGCCTTAGGAAATCAAATGGCGCATCTAGTGGTGACCTTGAATCTGACGTTGACACTCACCCTGAAGGTCATGTCAAGGACAAGTTATTTTTTTTAACGGGAACCGTTATTTTTTATTACAAAAGTAGCGATATAGAAATCAATTTGGCAATGAATCGACCTTCAAGGTCATAGCAAGGGCGTAATGCAATTTCTGCATCAACGGTTTTTCTATAATATTATTCTTTTTCCAGCTACCCGCTGCTTCACAAGTTAAAGAGCAACAATTGACCTTGAAATGCCTCTAGATGTAATTTCAGCCCCTATCATATTTACACCGTTGAAAAGGAACTTTTTTCTGCAATAAAAATTGTGGTTCCTAATTGGAAACATCATATTGCCCTTGAAATGACATTGAAAGTGAATTTCATCGACAAATACTAGGTCACCATTTAATGGCTGCGCCATTTGATTCCCTACGACTTTTATATTTAACATTTTCCTCCAGCACCCTTAGTTTAGAGATATTTGGGTGTGTCCATACTTTTGGGACACCCTGTATATATATATAACCATGGTTAGAACTATCTAGAGTGATGGGATTTCAAACTCAATTAATTTCATGTATTCTAGGATTTTTTATTTACAAGCGTCACAAATTGACCACTGGATACGCCAAGCAAAGAAAGTGCTTGATACACATTATTAAGAAAAAAATGTGTTACGAGCCCCTTTCCACTTCAGTTGGACCACTTCAAGATTTGTACCAAAATATGACTATACAGGGTGACTTTGAAGTTGAGTCATTAATTTTCAGATAATGATTGTAGAAGGAAGATAAACCAAAATATGTGTGTAAAAATAAAAAAAAAATAAAAAAAAAATGTTACCTTGATTAATAAAGTATCCTCCCGACAAGTATTTCAGTGCGGACCTGTATTTGATCGCGCGGTCTTGGAGCAGCATGCCCTCACCTGTGAGGTCTTAAGTCACCTGATTCACGAGCCCTTTGCACTACATTAACAAAGGCACGAGGGGTTGGTTGCACTCGATTGGGAAACCGATTCGCATAAATCCGTGATGCATCCGGGAGCATTTTGTAAAGACTGCCCCCCCGTAAATAAGAATCATGTCCACAAGTTCAGCATTTTCGTAAACATGTGCCATTTTTGATTTCGTTTGAGCCACGCAACACACTACTATTCACTCACGTTTTATCGACTGACGAAAACATCGTGATAAACGTTTCAAATTCTTTCGCTTTTTTGTTTCCGATGCGATGAACCGGTCAGCGGATTATATCCGTTGTCGCCAAACACGAGCATATAATAGGCAGGGCGGTACTCAAACTTCCAAAGGGCTATAACTTTGTTACTTTAATTTTACCAGAAAAATGGTAAAGGAAAAAAACATTTCTTTTGATCAGATCTACTCACTGTTAAAATAAATGACTCAACTTCGAAGTCACCCTGTATAAACTAAACATGACGAAACTATTTACTTCTAAAACAATTTATTTTCTCAAAAACATTTTAGATACACTCTAGTCGTAAAAAATACATATTTGAAATCACTTAGACCTATAACTAATAGAACATCTGAACAAATAAACAATGTGCGAATAAATGCGCGAAGTTAACAAAGCAACAATTGAAAGATTACTATTGGGTAATATCACCTTTATTTTTTATTACGGTTGAAATTCTTTGGGGCATAGTGCAACCAAGTTTTGGCAAAAATTTGGTGTAAAACAATCCCATATTTCTTGAAGCTTTTGTCTCAGTTCGGTGACTGTTCGAGCAGGATGTTGTCGTAGAACCTTTTTCATCTCGTGCCACAAAGTTTCAATAGGTGACAGATCTGGACTGCTAGAAACCCATTTCAAAAGTGGTACATTATTTTCTTCCATCCATTTTATAGCCTTTTTTGCTCGCTGCACCATCTTGCTGAAACACAAAATCTTGGCTGGATGTCAAACATTCTTCCATCACTAGTAAAAGCGATTTTTCTAAAATTGCCAAATATTTGTTTGTATCCACATTTCCATCAATAAAATGAAGTTTTTCTACTCCTTTTGATGACATACTGCCCCAGACCATAATGGATGCTGGAAATTTCACTTTTCTCTTCAGACAGTCAACATGGAATGCTTCAGAGCACTTAATTGTAAATAATTGGCACGCCTGTTTTTCACGATTATTCTTCTTAATGCTCTTCGGTCGGCATTTGTGATATTACTTTTTTCACATATCGTGGCTTAATATTAACTGTTACGAGTTACGTTATATCTTCTAACAATATTTCTCACACTGTACCGCGATAAGTCTAACAAAGTTGCAATTTCTAAGTTTGATTTGCCAGAATTAAAAAATTTAATTATCAGTAACCGAATTTTCTCACTAATAACCTTTCCTCTACCCATTTTGAAAACCTTAACTACCCAAAACTATTTTAAACGTATTCTGACAGCTGTTATTAATAAAAACAATTGTCATGGCTTTTATTTTTCACAGCCACCTATGCGTTATAGACTTATTTTGCATTGAAATGAAAATAGGTTTATATGCTGTAATTGCAACATGTGTTATTTTTATGCTGCAAATTTGATTAGGGAGTGATAAAGATGGTGTTTTCTACTATATATTATCAAAATATTCATTGTTAATATTTTAAACCTATAACACCATGCTACATTTGTATTATTTGTATTTGATAAGAAAAAAACTAAGATGTCAATAGTTGGGCCAACCGAAGTGGGAAGGGGCCGTATGTAAAAATAAGTTACCTTAATAAACACGAAAATTTGATGAAAAATCAAATCGAATATTTTTTTGAATTACCTTGCGTCGATGTATACGCCTAAGTCTTTGAGTACTAAATGTACATTTTCACCTATAAACACAGTGTAGACGCAGCAAGATCCTAACTGGTAGATCAATAGGAAGACGTTGATCACATGCCTGAAATATACAAGAAAATTGTCACAAAGGATAACGGTTATCACACATTGATGAAAAAAATCCCACTACCTTTCGACGGTTTCTATTGCGCGCCGAAGTTTCCTACTACGATATACCATAGCATGTCCATTCATATTCCTGAAAGGTTATTTTACAAGCCGTCATTTAACCTGACGTGTTAGTATCTTAGTAAGTATATGTGGGACAAACCTTAAGACTGAAGTAGTTAAGATTAACCAACTGAGCTGAAAGTTTATATACAAATTATGTTCCGCCCTTGTCAAAGTAAATATTCAGAATACATATCGCCAGAGGGGAGAAAGGTAGGGAGAAGGGGCGCGGTGCCGCTTTCCTTCTCTGCGTGCGCGCTTTGAAATCGTGGCGGTTGGGTACTACTACGAGGGTACTACGATATGTATTCTAAATATTTACTTCAACGAGGACTTCACATAATTAAGATCGAACATCACTTACAGGTATGTTCGTTTGATCATGTAATTATATAATAGAATACCAGTGGCGAGGTCTAGCTAATAGCTATTCTACTTAACTAGGCAGCAACGGTGGCGTAGTGGTAGGCGTTAGGGGTCTACCAATCAGTCACCGTACGCTGCGCGGGATCGAATCCCGTCTCAAGAGACAATTTTCTCTAACTGTCGAACGCGGAGGTAAAACCCGGCATATCTCTAAGGCGGGGCATTATGCACGTGTTTTCTCGCTAGAGTCCATGTTGTGTATCCCCTTATAACCCCAGGGTACCTTAGGCCTTCGTGGTGGTCCAAGTATAAAATGAAACCAGTGGAGATCAGGTGCACAACTAAGCTGAAATCGAACGAAAGAATCGATGAAGTAGACAAAAAAAATATATGGAAAATGAAGTTTTCCAAAAAGAGTTGAGCAACGAAGCAGCATACCTGTAGTTATTCAGTTTTCAACTTTTTACTACCATAGAGAATTTACAACGACAGGAGCAGTACATTTTATATTAAAAAGCGACCTAACCACTTTTGATATATACCTATAAGTATCGATAAACAATAATAAAGAAATAACAAAAAAATTAATTTAAAAAGTATGTTACTATCATTGATCCTACAATCAAACAAACTCCGTTTTAATTTGAAAGTTGTTGCTTATGTTTAGAAACTTGAATTCTTGTGGAACTTGATTATACATCCTGATTCCATTACAACGTATATGAACGATCTTTGGAACATAGCGGTCTTGTGCGCGAGATATGAAATGTTTAATTAGACCTTGTATTGTTTACCAATTTACGCATAAAGTTACACAGGTGGAGTCTCCTATTATTCATGTTATGCCATTCGCACTCTTTGAATTTGTGTGATAAAGGGTCATTCTTCCTGATTCAATATACCTGTAGATGCTACAAAATGGCGATTTATCATTTCCATAACCTCTATGATATGTATACGAAATTAAAGGTTAAGACGATAGAAATACGATAAGCGTAAAGGCGGCATTATAAATCAAATATGGCAACGGCCGCAAAATGGCGATTTATAATTTCCAGTCACCCCTATGAGGTATCAAACGAAAGAGCTCGATGAGAGAAAAACAATAAGCAAAGTGACGTCATTGGAAATCCAATAAGGCGACTGCCACAAAATGATTTGCGAATCACCATAATTAAAGCGTGAGCACAGTGATTCAAGAACCAAAGACCTAACCAAAAGTTTTTTTTATAGGGGTGTATGATGTATCGTTGATAACATGGCGTCCAGTTAAGGTTTGTTCGTATAATCGTCGGTGACTGTGTCTGGGATCTGGCCGCAAGAATTCCGTCTCTACAGCGTAGCAGAATGAACAGAATCTGTGTGGCGGGATGTTGGACACGGTCACTGACAGGTTGGCGACTGCTGTATGAACAGGGCTTTACTTGGCTTTACATGCGGAATTACAGTGAAAAAATATGTCAATTTTGTCTGCAGCTGCTTCTTTTACATCGAAGCAGCCGCGCAAGCAGAAGCCTAAATGCCAGGGCACCGCGGCTGCTACGAGGATCCCAAAGAAATATTGTTAATCCGATTTTTGAACTGCCTAAGGTTAGTAGGACTTGGAACTCTTGTAAATTGTTCTTCAATCTCGACCCCATAGGGACAAATGATGGATCGTATCGGGCCGTTCTGGATGTACGAAGTTCGACAGGGTTTGGATAGGAGGCGGAACTCAGGTGGGTCTGTCTGGCAGCCACATCGTGCGGCGGCGCAAAGTCCGTCGGTATAACGGTAGAAGAGAGCTAGATTGCCTACAGCCCGCCGCGCCAGTGCTAAAGGGTCCCGGCCCAACCAAGGATAATGAAGTCAGGGTGGCGGCACCTCAAACATCCGAGCAATTCTCAAGGCTAGGTCTTATCTGCGCTTGTAAAGAATGAGGAAGTCATCATGAGAAAAGTAGTCATTAGCCCTAAACAAATAGTATTTCCCAGCAGCTGCCGCTGTTGGCCAGATGTGATCGTGCCACATCAAGTCCTCGGTGACCTGAACTCCGAACAGCCCAAATGTACGGCTCTTTGGCAGAACTTGGCCATTCGTCAAGACCGGATGAGCGCTAGGACGCTTTAAGTTCATACAATCATAGGCAAGACAACTTGAAAACATACAAAACTCAAAATTGAGCGCAATCTATTTTTTATGCATGTGTCCGCTATATTGGATTCGTCATTTGATTTTTGGAAAAATGCTACTAAATGAAAACATACAAAACCCAAAATTGAACGCAATCTATTTTTTATGCATGTGTCCGCTATATTGGATTCGTCATTTGATTTTTGGAAAATTGCTACTAAAATCGTTCTCATCGACCCTTAAAACATACAAAACTCAAATTCGAGAGCAATCGAAATATTTGTTGCAAACATGTCTGTCATATTGGATCCGACATTTTCATTTCAAAAAATCTACTTCTGATTCGTTACCAGTGACCTCAAAATCATAAAAAATTGGAATTTGAACGTAATCGAAATGTTTTTTTTCAAACATGTGCGCCATGTTGGATCCGTCATTTTGATTATTGACAAATGGAAACATGTTTTGCAAACGTGTCTGTCATATTTATGACAGACAGAATGAATATCTAATTCGTTACTAGCGTCCTCAAAATCATAAAATATTATAATCTAAGCATAATCTAAATATTTTTTGCAAACATGTCCGCTATGTTGGTTGCATCATTTTGATTTTTTGATAAATGGATATCATATTCATTATCAGCCAGCTTGAAAACATGAGTAAAGCTCTTTTCTGAAATTATTGAAACTTTCTAGTTTTGGCCGCGTGAAACGTATGATAATACTTACAGTTTTGTTTTAACAGATCTGATAATGGACCGAAAGACCATGAGAACTGTATAAAAATGGCGCAAACCCATCGAGTTAGTAGTCGTTAAATTCTCTTTGACACGTACCCTGGTCCTGGGGTCCGATTAAGTTAGTCGACTTAAAATCAACTTGGTTGTTTGGACCACAGTCCCCAAGGCAATAAATAAAAAAATGGCTCAACTACCAGTGACTAAACTATAATCATACAATATGTGCAAAGTAACTTTACATTATATAATATCCTTATTGGGTGCCGGGCCAATTAACAGCATGCTGATGTTGTGTTTGTTTTGATCAAAATTGCTCCAAATGACTGGGCATACTCGAAATTGCCCGGCCATTAACATCGTTGACCGATTTATCATCACTGCTTGTAACAGATGCAGCTGTTGAACAGAAACTACGGGGATTAAAAATAAAGATTATGAAACATTTTACACAGAATTTCATTCATTCTATTTATAATGCTTAGATTATTAACATTAATTATTTCTGTCACTATATGCCTTAGAATTAATGATTGATTCAATCTCCCAAACAGGTATATCAGTATATTATAATAGCCCAGTCAAGCTGTGTGAATATTTTAATGTGATACCTATACTCCATAAAAAAACATGTTAATATAGCAACACTTTATTTCTCATAATCATTCAAAATATCAGCTTAAAAACAACAATAATAATATTAAGAGGTAAATTATATATTTACAGGTTACGTTCAACCGACTCACTGGATCTGTGTAAGGTAAGAGTATTATGCTCAATAAGTGGATCTTAGTGGCAACTAACATCACTAACAAAGATCTTCATCACATTAGGCTGCCAAAACAAAGCACCAATGGTCGTTATAAGTTAGAGATTATATTTTCTATATACGATGTCTGTTAAAAAAATAACCGAACTTTTTAGATTTCGCGGCAACACCGTGTTCCTCATAATTTGCCGCGTAAGTTATTCTTTACGGATTGCCGATATCTCCCTTCTTTCCCGCGTTGATGTCTTTTGTTTGCAAGGTGTTCCAGTGTGCAAAGTTTCGCCTGAAGCAGAAAGACATTTACCGAAAGAGGTGAACTTCTCTAAGCTTACGGAGATGAGGCTCAGTTTATAGTCGACATAGCATAATCATAGCACAAACACAAGGAAGTTACAACCACTGATAAAAATTAGACCGTTTATAGTCCAAGGAAGCAGAGAATAAAACATAAACATAACATACGAAGTTAACCAACATTTAACTTATGCTATGTCCTTATGTTGGACCAGTGAAAATACGCTAATCTCGTAGATAAAGCAGATTTATTTTATGGCTTTTTATTCTACTTTTTTGAATAAAGTCCGGTAATTTGTTTAGCAAACAATTTAATTCAAACTGAGTTCAAGAAATTTTAAATACACACAAAACAAACACATCAAATAGGCAAAAGCTAAACAAGATTAGCTGTTGACGGTATTGAAACATTCACAATTTGTATCAAATTTAATGTCAGATGTCAATTAAAAAAAGAGTTCCTTTTTGATAGCACTATGTGTTATGATATCTCTACTATAAACCGGACTTAAATCGTACAGTGTTACGAATGATTTTGCCGATATAAAAGTGGTTGCAGTAAGTTGAAGATGATCCTCGACCAGAAAAACCTTCGATCAAAATTGGTGATACGTTCAGCAAACCTGTGACCTTGTAAGTGCAAATCTTCGACTAGCTTTCAGAGAAATTGCAGAAGAAGCTAGGATCCCAATAGGGTCATACCATAACACTGTGAAAATTCACCATGTATCGAGTTGTAGTAAAATCCTTGTTTGTTGACAGAAGTACAGAAAGAACATAGAGTACAGGTTTCACGGAAACTCGTTCAACAAACCAACTATGACGACACATTCATAAAGAGCCTGATAACAGTGGGTTGGTAGAGGATCTCCACGACTTCAAGAAGTACAAATGTGAAGATATGCTTGTGCATGTTGAATGTTTGCCTCATGATCAAACAGGCAACAATTGCCTCAACCTCCCTACTCACCAGATTTAGCTACTTACGACTTTTCTTATTTCCTAAATTTAAATCAGTGCTGAAATGATGCTGTAGAACATTTAAACAAATTGGTCGCAGGCATTGAAGAATATTAACAAATAAAATCACCACACTGATTTTCTTGAAGGACAAGGACCAATAATGTGTAAAAAACTAAGTTTAGTTATTTTTTGAACAGACTTCATATTTTTATCGACATAAACTGAACAATATAGTAGCTGTTTTCGGCCGTAGTCGCTAACTCATAGAATAATGGACGAAAATGTGGACACGTCTAGATACTAGAAGCGGCAACTACTAGCTGCATCTGGTTGTTCGGCTTGGCTACTGCTGGCATCGACCAACGGCTGCCACAGATAGACAAGTTTGCGGCAGTTCCAAACTGTGTCGCAATTGAGCGTCAGGAAATATTAATAGGTATGTGCAAAAGACTTACTACGTAAAAACAGCCTTTCACATCACTAAACTCTACGATTATCTAAAGGCAAAAAACATTTTACCTCATTTACGCGGCTTCAGTACGATGTACACACTATAAACTGACCCCCTCTTAACTTTTTTTGCGTGAGCTTTTAAAATAAAAAGTTATAAAAAAGTTTAACGGTTTGATATAAGTTTTTCAAGCAATGTCTCTTATATACAAGCTGTCTCAGAAAAGTGCTATCGGAAAAAGTTTTAATTTTTATGCAATTTAGTGAAAATGTGTGTTTTTTTCTGATTTTAAATATCTATGGCTTATTACTCGTATGTTCATTACTTTAGTCAAAAACTTTAAACTTTTGTTTCGTTTGATGACATTTATCCGGTCCCTATGCTAGATTTCATAGACTACTAGATGCAAACTGGTTTGAACTTGGACACATAAATAAATGACACACCAAATTTAAATGTTTGACTCAATTAATGCAAGTGTTCACTAAAATTATACCATTTGAAAAATCCAACTTTATCAGGTAGATCTTTTATGAGCGAGCATACGAAAGCATACGGCACATACATCTTTATATGAGACCCTACAACTTCTGTATGAAGCATTATTTATACGGTCATATAAAAAAGTTAGAGGGGGCTCAATTTGTAGTCGGACGTCCTGTACAAGTATATACAATAGGTACCAAAAAATATATATATATCAATAGAGCATCCAGCTATGCATTTTAAAGATTTCCTATTTCTATTTACAAAAATTCATGACTGCTCGAGAATAAGAAGTCTGTTATGAAGATCTTGCTATAGTTAAATTTGATAAAGCTTCAAGTTAAAGTATCGGTTAATCCAAATATTCAGCCAGAATTTGTAAACATACCGAGTAATTTATCGATAACGTTCTTACTTTTTTGGTTGAAGTACCTATATTTAAGTTCTTAGTTAAATCTGATACTAGTTGCTTAAACAATATAAATGCGTTTATTCGAAAAGCAACAATGTCCAAATCCATGGTAGTTGTGTTTGTAAATAGAATCTTATTTTCAAATATAGTGGATATTTGGTATTCATTTTATCTCATCGTATTATCTTCAATTATTCGTGTAACTATTAGTAATAAAATATATACAATAATCTCTCTATTGGAGGAACTACTTGTCAATCCTTTTAGGTAAATAAATAAAATAATACTAATGATAATAGGATACATACGTGTGAGTTAATCTTTTCAGTAAATGAATAGACTATTACATTTTGTGTTATCATTTAAAGATTGATGCAGGAAACCTGTGCAAATCGGGAGGTTCTATTGCAAACCTTTTCTCATTGTTTTTTTTCAGTATTGGAATTCATTCTTTACCAAATTATAATAGTCTGTCCACGTCAACAAGTCGTTAATACTGTTCAAATCTAAAAATACAAATTTCGAAACTGCGTCAGCAAAACGTGGTTCTAACTGATCGTAGAAGTTCAAGGTACACTTTGAAAAACTTGTTTGAAGTTTTGGAATTCAAAGAGAACAAAAAAAAATGTATTTTAAATTTATAGTATAAGTTATTTTCAAAAAATGTGTCCAGTATCTTCAAAATGCAGCTTCGAAAATCGCTAACGGATAAAACAACCTTGGAAAATGAATCACTCCTTGCAATGTTGGTCCATGTTTAGGAAACAACCAGATATTAGACTTAAATTATCGGGTTTTAAAAGTTCACCTCGAACTTCGATGATAGAAGTTTTGAAATCAAAAAAGGGTGATGTAATAACAAAAAAATTGTAGCATTTTAAATGTATAGTATCAAAAATAAGTCCAGTGTCTTCCAAATGCGATCTTCGAAAATCACTAACATATAAAACAGCCTTGGGAAATGACTCACTTCTTGCACGTTGGTCCATGTTTAGGACACAAAGAGGTATCAGACAGATATTATCAGCTTTTAAAAGTTCACCTCCAACTTCGGTGATCAGAAGATAACAAAGTCAATAATTGCTATGAGTTATGTATTCCCTCCAAGGTACTCTAATAAAAACTAATAATTATTTTTTTTGTGTCTATGACTAAAATGATAATGGTCTTACTTACTAAACATATCAGGCACTTTATCAGCATAGCTATATTAAGAAATATACGAATTCGAGTTTTAATCACATTTATGGTCAATTATCTGTCATTAATTTTGTTAACCAATAAGCATTCATATCAGTTGACTGATACTAAGTATCCACTGTAAATGGATTGTAAATTGTTAACTACATTCAAGTCAGGGAACAGAAAATTTTGCAATCAAACATTTGGGGTTACTAAGTAAGCTCTGCTGAGAAAATAATTTGCTATTGTATCTTCTTTATCTGTTCTGTTTGAGATTTTTTAATCCTTTGCTGGCGAAAAATACGTAGTACTGGTTGCAAAAAGAGATATCGCAACATATACTGTATTCATTAAGGTAAAAGTTTCAAATTTCCTGCAATTCGATAGTTTAAAGCTACTGGATTAATGTTCTATGGGTCAAAGTAATTTGATAATGTATATTTCTTAATAAGCCTACTAAAACTTACATATCTACAGTTACTGTATGAACTGGAACTATTGCAGTTCCATCACAAAACTTATTCGATCACTGTTTCAGAATGCCACAATTGTTTCTAAGCTTCTAGCCAATGTGTAGATAACTTTAATTAACATTATCACGAAATTAAATATATATATATATGATGAGGAAAATGAGCTAATAAATGAAAAAACATTTATCTAGAATGTTAAAACACTTGTTTGCTTCAAGATTAGTATTTGCTTTTGAGAGACCGGGTGTTTAAAACGATAAGAGATATGAAGAACCTAAGAAAATGCTATTTAGAAAGTTTCGAAGTTCAGGGTATTTTCGGAGACGAAAAAACCAAATTAGCCTGAATTTGTTTTTATTTTTTTCTGATCTTACTTGATAAGGGATTTCAAAACGAATAGCACTTTGACGTTGTCACCTTTCCTCCTCCTACAAGGTGATATAATTAGGACTTCAAATGACGTTTCGTCTCTTGTCTTCAAACACCATGTTTATTTTTTCTTATGGACGCCATATTGGATTTTTGTACAGATTAATAGTGTTTTTAATTCTGATTCCAAAAATTACATGACGAATTAAAGATTGCTTCCGTTTTTGACAAGCGTGTTTATCGACTATCACACTTCAGCACATCGGAGACCTCTTGCATCATGCCTCAGCCTAGATTTATATTATTCAAATGCAACATATGTGCGTTTGTTTAGTTAAGAGGCATATGAACTGTGTGTAGCAACCTGCAACATCGTTAATTGTTTCGATTTCTCAAAAATGTCTCTATCAGTATCTTAAAATTATTCCATTCCATTCCATTTTCAATGTCTTTATTACTGCCCTTAAATAATATGAAAAAGTTAGCATTATCTTGTTCATTATTTGATGAGTCCAACCAGAGGAAGATTCTTCTTCTTTAGACCCTTGAACTTTTTTAGTAACAATTCTGGTCCTATGTAAAGTTCATATAAAACTGAAAGAATGCTTGGCTGATAAGATTACGCAATAAATGACTATCTGATAATTTCAACGCTCACTTAGGAAATACTATTTTTTTAATAATCATAGTTTCACAATAGGTATTAATGTATGACATTTTGAATCACTATCAAAAACTCAATTCACCTGTGTAATAATCCAATATGGCATCCATCAGAAAAGATAGAGTTGATGATTGAGGACAAGAGACGAAACATCAGATTGCTAATTATGCCACCTTGCCTTCTATGAGAAAAAGTGGCAATGATGTTAAGGTGCAATTTTTCAACTCAAATAAAGCAAGGAAAAAATAAAAGGTATTTGACAAATTCTGTTTTTTCTTCTATATCTGGAAATCCTTTGAACTGCTAAGCTATCCATGTATCATTTTCCTAGTTACGTAAATGCCCCCATTTAACCAACTTTGTATCTCCTACCGTTTTAGCAAGATTCCAATGGGGCAATTTAATTTGAGATAATCTTGCTTTTCAGTGTAGTAATTTGTTCATTCGAAGATTGTTCTAAGCACATTTTACCCACTTTCTTGTATTCAAATGCCTCCTGCAATAATGAGACTCTTGAATTTTGAGAAATGAAGATCTCAGTTCAAAGAAGCAAGCCTTGAAACATATCAAGTCACAGTTTTCTCAATTCAAAATAGTTAGAAAAAAATTCCATTTTTATAATAATAATGCTACAAGAACTTTAAATTAATATAGGAATAAGATTTTGTTGTAAAACTGACCTCTAAAATTGTTCTTTTCAATATTGGAATATACATAAAATCACGCTGTACAGCTAGCTAAAACAGTGACACCCTGCATTAATACAACACTTTTTCACTAACCTATGAGAAAGATATCACCCGCATTATCAAAAAATCTACAACTAGTGGATAGTCGTAACATTGACGTCCGGCGAGAACTTTTCGATGATTTTTTCTAAGCTAGTTGAAGTACCCACTATGAGTCCTGAGACAGCGAAGAGCATGATCAGGATATTTTTGACGATGATCCACGTGCCACTGAGCCCTTTCAAGGAGTACCAGTACGTACTGAGTTGGATAGTGGCAGGGAAAGCCAATCCGAGTGCGGATAAACTGAGAGCACCGAAGAGGGAGATGAACAGGTCTATGTAAGGGATTGCTACCGCCAGGCAAACTGAAAAGAAAATAAAGTGTTAAAAAAGGTTCAAATATGGTACGTAATTTTGAAAAATGTCATCAAGTAGGTTGGATTTTATTGACGCGTTTTTCCTATTAGACTTTGGGCAATATGTCAGTACCTGATAAGATCCAAGTACTCTTAGTAAAATTCTCTAAATGGTAATTAGGATTTTTACGACAAAAAGAATTAATAAAATTTCGTGAAGTAAATTGACTATGCACTTGCCACACAACGCTGCTAGCTACAAACATGTATAACAAAAAAACTAAATGGGTCAAGGAAGACCATATACGGTGAGATTCAAATTTGGTTGACGTCGTAATGTGAGAGGGAAGCGCGAGAATACGTATGTTAAGGCGTAATTCCACTGAGGCAACAATGAACGACATGTGGCATGCTACTTGTTTCCTAGTGTTGCCTCTTGTTGACGTTCGACAGTGTTGCCCAAATTTCTATTAATGCCGCATGCGGATTTTGTTCCCATATGTGGCATGAGCTTTGTCGTACATGAGTGTAGCATGCGTCTTCACGATTCAATTCAAGCAACTCCAGTTTAGTACGTCATGTCATTACAGACAGTCGCGGTGGCTGCTTATTTAGTAATTTCTTCGGATCGGAAAAGAAAAAGAAAAACGCCAGAATATTGGAGACGAAATATGTACGAAATTCAGTGCCACTTTTACAACAACTTGGTGGCTGACGATGATGCTTTATTCCGAAATTTCACACGCATGAGTAAAGACGAACTACTTACTTGAAAAAATCTTACGTATGATAAAAAAAGAGAAACCAACTTTCGGAAAGCAATAACGCCCCGCGTGAGATTGCTGGTGACATTAAGATATACTAAGTGACATATAAATCCGAACACCCAGTTTAAATGGTTTTATTTTAATAAAATTTTGTATAAGTACTTAATGAAGCATAATAAGTAAATGATAAAAATTTTCAAAATGATTGCACTGCTTTAAAGCCCTTTGACCTTTAATAATGTGTGGATGCGCCCTGATGTGCTACGCATTCTCCAACGCGCCTAGGCATGCTTCTGATCAGGTGGTCAATGTCCTCCTGTGGTATCTCATTCCAGGCAACCACCAACTCCTCTCGAAGTGCTTCTAGACTCTGAGGAGGACGTTGTAAATTGAGCAATCTCCTACCCATCATATCCTACACGTGCTCAATTGGGGATAAGACGGGAGATCTTGGTGGCCATGGTAACAATGTGACATCATTATGTTGAAAGAAGTCTATTGTAACTCTTGCAACATGTGGTCGGGCATTATCTTGTTGGAAAGTTGGATCTGCCAGGGTGTCAAGATAGGGTAAAAGATGGGGTTCTAGAACTTCGTGGATATAAAGCTGCGCGTTCATGTTACCTCTGATGAAGATTAAAGGTGACCTGGAACCATAAGCTATAGCACCCCAAACCATAACTCCAACAGTGTGATGAACATGTCTTTCAACAAAAAACTGTGGATTCCTCCTTTCACCACGTCGCCTTCTAACCCTGGCACGACCATCGTGCATGCCTAAACAAAATCGAGACTCGTCACTAAAGACAATACTGTTCCATTCCGGATCCCAGAGTGACCGTTGTCTGCACCACTCAAGGCGATTACGTCGGTGTTCTCGAGTTAAAGGGAGGACCCAGTGTGGCCGGTATGAAAACAAGCCAAAACTTCTCATTCGTCGATAAACACTTCGCATGCCAATAGCTCTTCCGTGTTCTGCAAACCATTCATTTGCAATGGACCTGGTAGTGGAGAAACGGTCCCTTAAGGCCAATAATCTTAGGCGGCGATCTTCACGGTCTGTTGTGCTACGGCGGCGTCCAGTGCCCCTTGCTCTTTGCGTACGGCCTTCTCGAAGCCATGTCTGACAACACCTAACCATAGTGTCTACACTTCTTTGCACTCTAACTGCAATTGCCCGAAAAGAAAGTCCAGCTTCCCGAAGTCCCACTATACGGCCCCTATCAAACTCACTAAGTTGACGAAATCGTACAGGTCTCCGTACTCTAGACATCGTAACCGATCGTAAAGGATGTCAAGAACCAAAACCGCCAACGTTGATTCTTCACTGCGGCTGAAATATTCATTTTTAGAGGGTTAGTGAATTAAAAAAAAGCAGTATAAAAACCGGAATGTCCAACTGATAAGGCTGAAAATTTTAATATATAAGATAAATACATTCACCAACTTTTATTAAAATAAAACCATTTAAACTGGGTGTTCGGATTTATATGTCACTTAGTATATTTGGCTAAATCAACATTTAATAAATAAGCCAACTACGTAAAGAAAATGAGAAGATATTTCCTTCTTGTCTCCCTGAAACCATAACCAACCGCAAAAAGTACTGTTTCGGGCTCGTTAGACCTCGTCAGTGCGGTATAGGTCTGCTCGTCTACTACTGGTAAGTCAAGGAGACAACGGGACAAGAAGCAAACAATCGTATACGTTTAAAAGACTGAAAGTACTGTACGCTTGCAAGTGGCCAGCCACAAACTATTTTTGCCTCATCCTGCTTAAGTCGTGCATCTTTATATCTTTCCGATTTGTTATTCCATAATTCATCCGAATTATGGTAATATTTAATTAAAGATAATGTTTCTCGATTGGTCCACTCCATTTTGTAGCCTGCTACAAGCCGCACCGATCCGAATGGGTTTGGATAGCCAGCGACACTTATCAACACGTGGATTCATGTCGCTCGAGAGGCAACAACGGGAAAATTGTGGCATGCGGCCAGGAGACATTTTTTTTGTTGCTTTGTGTTGCCTCTATGGAAAGACAGCGTGCCGCATGCGTCAATGCCGTATGCTACATGTTGCCCAAAAGTTGCGCCTTTAGAAAGAGCACGTATTGCATGCTTATGGCGCTTGTCTCTCGTGCACATGACGACGTCAGTCTCCATCCATTTGATAGTCAGTGGCGAAGCGTCCATGTGACCATTGTTACCATTGGTAACAGTTGAAGATCTTAAAAATAAATATTTTATGACAAGTACTGTGAAATAATTTCATTTATTTGTTTACCAACAGCGATTTGTAATAGTAATTCAGTAAATAGCAAATTAGCCCCCCGAAAATAATGCGACCCATAGTGTCTAGGTTTTGCGAACACGATGAAGCTGACTTGGTTGTCGGTTGTTACCATTTGCATTTATGGATACACTTGGTAGTCCGTCGGAGACCTTCGGTACCGGCTCGTGTCTGATCGGGGTCGCCCGAGTGCGTAGGGCGCTGCGACTATTATGTGGGCTTGTTACCATTTTTTGATTTGGTTTCTCACTTCTCACTCGTTCGTTACCGGCTGTAGTGTGCGTGCAATTAAACATGGATGAGTGTCGCTGCGTAATCGATCAACTACTTGAAAAGTCATTCTCCTTGTATAATTTTTAAGAAAAAAAAAGAGATCATTGAAGATGGAAGACCAACACCTATTTTAAATAATTTTAACAAGGAATAAAAAAACGTAGTTTTATATTTTAAATAAAGTTGGTATATGGAAACTCTTGGTTATGTGGTTGCAAAAAAACAGATTGTATTGTTGGCGATGTCTTCTGTTTCATACAGAAAAAAATTAGTGGAGTAGCGGAGTCAACGATTTAAATAGTTTTAGGGCTCTAAAGAGGAGACATGAAATTTCTCCGTTACATGTGAGATGTGTAGCCAATTTAATTCAGTTTGGCAAAACAAGAATCGAAACCAAGCTTTTAAGCAGTAGACTTCTAGATACCGCATGTTTTTTTGCAAAACAGGAGTTACCGTTCATTTTGAAGGGGATCACTCTGACAATAGAGGAAACTACAGGGAATTGTTAACATTCATTGCCAAAAAAGATAAAAAAATTTCCGAACATCTAGAAACGTCGACTGTTTTTTCGGACGGCTTGGATTAGTCATAGCATAAGACGATGAGGTATATCAAGTGCCCCAGATGCTCAGTCCCGGAATGTTTACCTTAATTTAAAAATAGTTTAAATAAAATACCTAAGATAAGCAAAAACTTATATTTGGGAGGTTCAAAACAAGATTTTTTTAATAAGATTTTCCACATCTGGTTTTGGTAACAGTTTAGAAAAGGTCACGCCGCCACTGTTGATAGTTTCTTCCATGCCTTAAGTATCGACCATCGTACCGACCGACCGCGTGTTTCATCTACAAATATTTCTCTAAGTTATAAGGGCAAATGTACGGCGAAATGATGTGTGACATATGTACTGATACTGTCGACAACAAAATGAGATATACCTTCCCCTACCCTCTACAACTCTCAACTTGCGATTTTGAAAGCCTAAGAATTTTTTTCAGAAAATAATCAGGAACCTCAGACACGTCAAAAAACAAATTTTGAGCGATTTTTTTTCGTGTTGTTACCTGTAGCTCCGCCACCACTGGACCGATTTCCAAAAACTATAAACCTTTTTCGTTCCTGGCATCGTAGTAACCTTGTGTGAGAATTTCATTCAAATCCGTACTTTCCGAGCTATAGGCGGTCCAAAGATTAGCGGACAGATTGACAGATTGACAGACCGACGAAAATGAGTGACATGGTTTTTCGTGATGTACATGTCATATCCAATTTTTCGCGATTACTATACAGGGTGACTTCGAAGTTGAGTCATTTATTTGAACAGTGAGTAGATCTGATCAAAAGAAACGTTTTTTTCCTTTAACATTTTTCTGGTAAAATTAAATTAACAAAGTTATAGCCCTTTAGAAGTTTGAGTACCGCCCGGTCTCAATAATAATATTATGTGCTCGTGTTTGGCAACAACGGATATAATCCGCCTTATCGGTTCATCGCATCGGAAACAAAAAAGCGAAAGAATTTGAAACGCTTATCACGATTTTTTTACTACAATTTTATTCAGTTGTATTCAGTCAATGTGTCAGTTGGTAACGCGTGAGTGAATAGTGGTGTTTGTTGCGTGGTTCAAACGAAATAAAAAATGGCACATGTTTACGAAAATGCTGAACTTGTGGACATGATTCTTATTTACGGGGGGGGGAGTCTTTACAAAATGCTGCCGCGGCATCACGGATTTATGCGGATCGGTTTCCCAATCGAGTGCAACCAACCCCTCGTGCCTTTGTTAATGTAGTACAAAGGGCTCGTGAATCAGGTGACTTAAGACCTCACAGGGGAGAGCATGCCGGTGCTCCAAGACCGCACGATCAAATACAGGTCCGCACTGAAATACTTGTCGGGAGGATACTTTATAAAACAAGGTAACTTTTTTTTTATTTTTACACATATTTTGGTTTATCTTCCTTCTACAATCATTATCTGAAAATTATATACAGTATTTCCTCACTAGTAGGCATGCGATGTAAAAACATTTCTTTTTAAAATCGCCCAACGAATTGCCATCTTTTACTCAGTTTACTTCACTAACACAATCTTCTGGATGTGAGTTTCAAAGTAGTTGAGGTCAGTATTTGGTAAACTGTTTTCAGCTCTCTCACTCTTCCTCTCAAGTTCATCTGCAGATATCAATCTGGAGAAAGTAGATTATCCACAAAACTATGGATCCGATTTATCGTGCCACACATGAGGTTATTGGCAGATAACAGAACTAATCCTGGAGGTGAGACCGGTTCCTGCCTTGGTATTACGAAACTTGTTGTATCAAATCTTTATTTACAAGTAAATTTTTGAACAATACGAAACACGACTTCAGTAACTGAAGAGACTGAAGTTTTGATTGACTTATCGCCGTAAATCTCAAAAGCCATCAAAATCAAAATCAGAAGTTTTGGTTTTATAAAATTGTACCGTCACTTGCAGTGTCAGGGAAAATCTAGATACACCTTGTATGTCAAAATCTATCAAGCCGTTTAAGCTGTAGCCCGTACAATAAAATTATTATTATCAACATAAATACGAGTACATACACATGCCCGAAAAATACAACGCTTCTGGGACATCCGCGGGAAAATTGGTATCACAGCAGGGGAGGTTCGAGAGTCAATCTGCCTGACGTTATTTTTTATATAAAGTAAAAGCCTGATTAACTACGATCATGTGAAAAATAGAAAAAGTCGATATAATTGATTGTCAACTTACAGCAAGCAATAACCAAGGTCGTCCTGACGATGTACTCGTACACATTTTGGTATGGATTCTTCTCGAATTTCGGGGCCAGATACTGGTTCCATACGATGTCCACTGCAACGTACATTTGCAGGGCATGCGTGATGAAAATGGCAAACACCAGCATTAACTTACAGACTTGAGCTGGACTGAAACAAAAGAACGTTTTCAATTAAAATCATTTTACGCATCTTTGGATGTAAAACTACAACATTTTTAGTTAAGGACTTAGGGTAGTGATGCCAGGGAAGATGGCCTTGTAAAGACCAAATATGATCACACTCATTACGACTTTGATAGCCTAGTCACCACTGAGACACACTTGTGGCGGTATAGCAGATGTGGTCTACTAGCCACTGAACAAACTAAACATTCTACTTTCGCCCGTCCATTCACAGACATCCTACCATGGATAACTGTTCCATCCAAGGCATGAAGCTATCGAAATAAGCCCGCGCAAAGCTCTATCAGTTATCAGAATCGGCCACTGCGACATCTGAGATCTTTACAATTACAATCGATAGCTGCTATTCACTGTCGAAGTGGTGGATTCTGGTAATAGATGGCGCTTTGTGCTATCTTATTTATAGATCTCATGCTTCTGATCGATGATAGTTGCTATGCTTTCGTAAATCTTATGTTTTAAAAGTCGATATGCTAATTTAGGAAAATCTTTAATACAATGGAATTCAAGCGGAATATTTTTCGTGTCAATGCTTTAGTCACGAATATAACCAATAACCTAACGGAAACAGTGCTATTTATTAAACAAATGCATGTGATTCATGTTAACATGTTTCTCACGTTTACATTATATCGGAAAAAGTTGGTTTATTTCATACTTGCTATTCAATATGCTCAGAGGTTCGAAAAAAAATTCAAAATCATATTTTCGTGTTGTTGATCTCTTAAAATGTAATTCGTTGGATAAATATAGTTCCCACTTTATAATCTCCCTTAATGTCATCATCGTCACTTAATATGAAATATCGGGTTAATATACTGGAACGTTTTTCAAGAGAGTCAAAAGTACTTTGCTACAATTAAGTGGTATACCATAGTCGATCGTAACTAGAACAAACTTACGACAGAATTTCCGGGATCAGAATGAGTTTCTGATACAGTTCCATGCCATTCTGGCTTCATGCGTTAATTTTAGAAGCAATTGGTAATTACTACACTCTACCACCACTACACATTTTTTCTAAATATACAGGAGCCTCAACTCAAGGTCTACATGTAACAGAGGACACAATTAATTATGACTGAGCTCTGAAAAAAAAATTCGCAAATATTCGTAATGAAGGATTTCAATTTATCTCCGGAGATTAGCACCACTGGTCAAAAGCCTAGCGAGACCTTCAATCGTTCTATATTAATTATACTATAAATATATCCATATGCTCGCTGGTTGTTGCAATGTCTGTCATGAGAATTTAATTTGAATATAATTGCGATTATGAAGTAAATTGTATGCATAAAGCATTTGTTTGGATGCATCATCAATTTCAAGTGAATGACAGCCTATGGATTTGTATTAAAATAGACCGAGATGGAATTAGAAACAGAAAATCGAGAGCCCATTATTCAAATGATTGTTGTGCAATTTGAGTTTGAGCTTAGATACCCGCATATAATAAGATAGTTTACTATAGATCTCTACGAGTAGAGAAACACAGAGTAAGACACTAAACCTAAAACTCGAGAAAGTTTCGAGAATTGGGCAGAAGCAGAACCGACCCTATGACTTTTGAATTACCTTATCGATCGCAGATGCTATTAGTTAGCGAAACATTTTCATAATTACGACTAAATGCATTAGTTTGGCAGTTTTTCAGAAAAATACAGCTAATGTGTAAAGCAGAAAGTTGTATTTTTGCAATCTTGAGTGATACAGACCACATTGTTACTCTGTTTTGATGCTGGCCTACCCACCTGTTGCCGAAGAACCACGTTTATTCTATTTTCGTTTTGGATATGGACTAGATCATTATAAATATTGCAGAACACCTAGGGGTTCTCTTTCAACATATAGGTTATAAAAGGTTATATCAGAACAGAAACCGTAAATACTTACATTTCTGACCCAATGCTGTAAGTGACAGATCCTCCTACATCTTGTCCGTATGCTAGATACCCAAAAAGACCCATGCCTACGTACAGCAAGATGATGGAGATCATACCAAAATTGAGTACACCGCACGATCCACCAAAGGACTTTGGTGTCTTCATTTCGTTTTCGAGTGGCATTATCTGGAAAGAAAATCATCGTATTAGGTCAACTAATATAATACTAAATGATGATGTCAAATAGTTTAACTCGATGTTGTCATTTTTAAAATACGTATACAGATTGTTCTTAACGTTGGAACTTTCCTTTATACGGCGCATAATTTTTGTCAAATAAAGAAATTTTCATCGTAACACAGTAAAGTCTTGAGATGTGCTTCGGTACCCAACCCAGGCGCCACACGCCGGTAGATAAAACTGAGTTTGTTTTTATCAATCGACCACTCGTATTATTTAAAAAACTCGCCAAGATGCTAATAAAAGTTTGGTCGTTATTGCGTTAATTTGTAAAACGTAATTAGCTAACTAGTCAAATACATTAATTAATCAGCTAAGACGATCACGATGAAATTTGCTAATTATGATGTCAGTATTATCACCAAGAATTTGAGCGGATTTTCCGACAATAACACAAAGTTCATGTTATTATGGATTAGGTGTGGCTGGAACTGAGTAACGGAAATCGTAAATAAAAGTTTACTTGGTGGTAGCGATTTGAGAAAAAGATGCAAGGTAGCTTGGCTATTTACTATTTTATGCTGATAAGACACCTTGAGGTCGACGCGGATTAAGGTCAATTTACTTGCTTGATTTTACCCTTTAGTTGTATATTTAATATAACAATATACTTTTCAAAAAATATGACCTTATCACTGTCAAATTGGAGATGTTCAAGCCTTATACTCGGTTGAAGTTAAAGTTGAGTTGTACTTCGTGGCTACAAAATGAATGATATCCGTTTAATAACTCTCTAAGAATAAAAAAATTTAAAAGATTACTTAAGAAAAGAAAAGTTGTGAGTTACTCTGTCAGCCAAATGAGTAGCTATCAAAGATAATATTGAATTGATACTAGTTATGATAGAAAATTCAAACTCCAGATTGAAGAATAAGCTCATCGAGTATGGAAAAAGAACTAGAGATAGTTTAATTTAGATAGGTTGTGTAAGATCAAGAGATATATCTAAATAGCGACTGACTGAAAATGTAGTGGGACATTGACCAGAAATGAAATCGAGAATTCAGCGGTAAAGAACGAAAAAATCGCGAGGTCTACTCACTTGAAACCCAGGAACACGACCAAGTACCTGGCTCTTCCCTGATCGAGAGATCAGGCAGATGGTCGCTTATTCAGTGGTGTCGCAATTTAAAGGGAATCTGTATAGTCAGACTAAGAAATGATTTTCTTATTATTTGTTCAGCTATTCTATCAAATACCTACTTCGACAGGTGGGAGAGTTGTTAACTTTAAAATGATAGCAAGCCGAGATCCGAGGAAAACTCTACCAAGAAAATATACTTCGGCAATTTACTTGATGTTTTGAATCTCTATTACAGTGGAATATTTCATTTTATTACATCTAATTTGCTAAATTCATACCTAAATAATCGATCGACCATTAACGTTCTACGGAAACCCTTTTCGCTTGACCATTTACAGAAGAGCCATTATCTAAACTGACAAATATTTTCTTAGAAAATGTCTCTCGCCATGCTGCAGTGTCGATCACTATTGCTAGATTCGTAGTATGTAACAGCGAAATATCCCGTTCTAAACTGGTTAAAAATTAATGACATGGTCAACTATCACTATTCAGTTTTTGTTCACAAATTGCAGCTCACGTCTAAACCTTATTATTTGAGGGAAAAAATTTCATTCAATAATGATTTTCACTGTAGAACTCTCAGAGAAAATAATATTAGAATACCCCTGCATACGTCTACACTTTTTAAACGCAGTTTTTCTTACAATGTTGCTATTATTTATAGTGACCTTCCTTAAAGTATATAAAGAATTTTCATTACCTGTCTTTCGACAAAAAGTTAAAACATTATTACTTAACCCTCCATACATATAATTTATGTAATCATTCATTTCTTTTTTATTCCATCTTTAATTCAGATTAATAATTTTTTGGTGTACTTGGGTTTGGAAAGTGTGCCTTTTTCTCTTTTTTTAAATTTTACTTTCGATGTAATGAACCAAATCTGTTTGTGGATAGTATATTCTTTTGAACATCTGCTAGAGACTATACGGTTAAGTGTAAGAGTAGCAGCATGCTAAACTTCGCCATGTAAATCTGACATTTGGCTATACTACAATGTAATTGTGGATAAATAAAGACGTCTATTATTATCATTATTATTATTATTAAGTATTACACAATTTCCGTCCCCTTTATTTTTCAGTTACGTATTCTGAAAAAAATGCAATTTCTTAAAGCAATATCGGAATTGTCGATTTATGTTAGTCTATGGTTTCTTCTTGCTGATGCCTCGCGAGTGTATTCAGATAGTTTTCCAGGACGTTTCCATCTCGCGCCGCATAGGTTTAGTCCAAACGTCCAAAACACCTTGTATACTATACTTCAAAAGCACTGATTTCCTAGTATCCATAGCAAGAATACTTTGCCTTTGTTTAAAGCTCTTGAAAATATAATTTATACTATTGGAAATGAAAATGCAGCTTACTTTTTAAGAAAAAAAGCTGACTTACCACTCCGATAGCTTCCAAGGCGAATAGTACGGTACCAAAGAATAGTGGGAAGTCTCTATAATCTCCAACGGGCTGTCTGTCAGCCATAGTTATGTCTGCCTTTATGAGGTAATACAGGATGATGCCGAAGCTCACAACCGTTACCGCATTTGCAACTGTAGACAGGGGTGCCAAGAATTTCAAATTCTTCACGTAATTTATTAGGATCAGAGGTAGAAGAAACATCAACATCACTAACCTGAAAAAGACGATAATATTTGTGCATTGAGGATAACATAAATTTGTGGGATGAGATCCACCTTAGACTCAGCTTTAGTTAAGCAAGGCGGTGCAAACAGCTACTCAAGTTTTATGTATCACCAATCCACATACAACTTCATTGCAATCGAAAATAAGGACTGTTTACCTGTGCCCAGTTCATAGAAACTGAGGGAATGCCTGGCTGAAGATATGAAATAAATAACTATCTGACAATTTCAAGGCATAACTAGGCAATTTTTAAGTCTAAAAGAAAAACAAGAGTTGATGAATGAGGACAAAAGACGGGATGTCATATTGAATTTATTTTGAAGTCCCATCCGAAATAAAGCCAGGCAAAGATAAAAAGGATTTTGTGTAAATTCGATTCTACTATTCTTTTTCGAAAATATTCTGTTTGCGAAGCTTTTCAAGTGCCATTTTTTAAAGTTACTTAAATGTGTAACTTATATTTCTTGGTGAATCCCTGATGTTAAACCCGAGCATACAGATTTCCTATGTCTTAAATGGAACATAAGTTTATATAGTTTAACATTTGAATGTTGCCAAACCCATAAGAATTCAGAAATGAGTTGTTTTTAGAAACAATAGGTTTTCTTGGGGTATACATACCTTGCATCGACGGAGATGTCATTTTCTTTGAGCACAATGTGGACGTTTTCGCCTATAAATACAGTGTAGACACAGCAGATACCTAGCTGATAGATGAGGATGAATACATTGATCACGTGACTGAAAATAAAATGAAAACAGATATATAAATAATAATAATACATCAATTATGTACATTTTTACATTTTACTAAAGCTAGACAAGCACTAACTAGCATGGTTCAGAAGTATGAAGTTATTTGAAGAAAAGGAGAGATACTCGAAGAACTAGACATGCTACTATAGAACATTCAAAATGGTATAGAAGATAACAAAAAGGTATGTTAGTAAAACATGCAATAGAAAAAAATACTCATAAATAATGAAAGCACCTTTATGTGCTTGTGTATTGAATTGTTGATAAGAGTGGAATAAATCTTGAGAGAACTGTTGCCGATTGATAAAAATGGAGCTATAACGCTCACAGAAATACTTTGTAAACATCTTTCGAGTTTAAATGTGCTGATATTTTTATTTTTTATTTTTTCAGATTTTTATCTCATATTTCTCAATGTCAATTTGGACTTACCTTTAATTCAATACATGTACACACACATACAGGTATATGGTTAATTGGCAAACACAAACACATTCTAAACAACTACTTAGTCACTACGTTTTTATTTCTAGTACTAGGGAACACTAATGAACTACATACTACACACGGATTATAATTTTCATATTATACATGGTGTAAACGTTATGGTAGTCATTATTAGGGGGGGGGGGGGTTAAAACAGGTCAAAAGGTTCATATGACCCATGGTCCAAAAGTCAATAGATTTTTGTATAAATGGCTTTATAGTTTACAACTTTAAGTGCTTTATATCGTCCACAATCACCACAATCTTACTAATTCTTATAATCCGATCTAAAACGTTTTTAAATAGGGTAATTAACAAATAAATGGCATTAAGTTTTTCTAAGTTCAGCCAAAATTTGTAGTCAGTAAGTAAGTTTCATTAAATTAAATATTTAAAACACACAAGCCAGCGCGTCGGTCTTTCATCACTCTTATCGAACCGGCAATCCATCGCAAACGGTAACAGTGGTTAGTTATCGTTTTGCATAGATAAATTAATTTATCGTTTTGTCGAGGAGATCATCGGGCGTGTTGTTTTGTTTTTGTTCGCGTACGTCGTCGTGTTAATTTACAATGTTCTCGAATCAAGAGTTCGCCGACATGTTGTTAGTTTACTGTGCTCGTCTGAATTCAAATCTTGCAGCTCAAATGTTCGAAGTTTACCTTCAGCTTTCTACTAATAATTACTCTTGTGTTTTTTCCCTGCGCCGCATTATTTTAGTAACAAAAAACAAATTAGATATCAAAACTTAATTTCAACAAATGTTCAAAAATACCACCATTCTGACAGATACAAGTGCGGCATCGTTTTAATGAAGAAAAACGTATTTCCGCAAAATTTGTTGTGGCTTGAATTTGATGAAACGCATTACCTATTATTTCTTCTAACAGATCAACAGTATTAGTTTGTTCAGCATACACTAGTTGTTTGAAAGCCCCCCACAAAAAGAAATCCAGGTGGTTCAAATCAGGAGATCTCGCTCGTTGTGCAAAAGGATTTTTCAACCATGAGGTTATGTCACGACGAACATGCGGTGGGGCACCGTCGTGCTGACACCACATTCGTACTCTCGTTACTGACGGAACATCATCTAACACATTTTCAATGTAATTCTCTAGAGAAGCTAAGTATGAGTTTGCATTCAAACGTTGTGGCAATACGTGCATAAACAGTTGACGATTGAAGATGCCGCACAAGACATTTCTAGAAAATCTGTGTTGTAACGACAGAACGGGGATTCTCTAACGACCAAATAGGTTCATTATGAGAATTAAAGGTCCCACTCTTCGTAAAAAGCGATTCATCTGACCACAAAACAAAATCAATAAAATCTGCATTATGATTATGCATTTGCAGTAACCGCTCGCAAAAATTTTGACGTTGCACTTTGTCGCCGGGTTGCAGACTTTGCATATTGTTCCGATGGTACGGATGTAAAACTTCCCGATTTAAAATTCTCCACGCAAGACTTTGGGAACATGGTAACTGGGCTGCAATCCGTCTAGTACTTGAACTAGGATCATCCAACGTCAAATAAATCACTTCCAATTCCTCTTGAATAGGTTGCCGGACACCATGACCTCTAATTACGGGAATTTTGGCAATTCCATATTGCCTAAATCTTAGAAATGAACGCGTAAAGACCTTTGGAATAGGTTGGCGTCCGATAGGAAATCTACGCTGATACTCCCGATAAGCCGCTAAAATAATTGTTGCTGGTGACTTTAATGTCGCATCATTCAACAGTGACGTTAATGATGAGAAGTCTCAATTAATGAGCAACTTTATTTCGTTTTTATATTTAACTAATTTTAATAATATTCCAAATATAAATGGTCGAATACTGTATTTAATTTTAGGAAATATCGAAATAGAAGTCCTCATAGATAATACACTTTCTGTTAAAGAGGACGTTCATCATCCTGCACTGATCATGGAATTCATTACATCCGGATCTCCAACGAAATTCCCATTTGCTAATTCTCCACGGTTTAACTTTCGCAAAGCTAACTTTCGTGAAATGTACACAGCCTTGCAAGATGTTAATTGGACGGAGGTGATCAGTGCAGTTAATGTTGATGTCGCTTGTACCGCCTTGTATTCAGTTATCAATAACATCTTTGAGGTCCATGTCCCTAAATGTAAAAATAAAATGTTTTTGTATCCCCCATGGTTCACACAAATTATACTCAATATCAAGAAGAAGGACATAGCAAGAAGGAACTGGAAACGTGACGGTACTAAGTTTTCTTATGATCAGTTCAGTAATTTTAGGAAGCTCATTAAGAACCAGATCAGTGTTGCCTACTCCGCTTACGTCCAATCAATCAATCATTTTCAATGATCTTAGCAAATTCTGGTCATTTGCCCAGATCAAAAAACAGCAATCTAGAATCCCCCCAAGGATGACGCTTAACGGCAATGTCTGCGATACGCCTCAGGATATAGTGGACAGTTTTGCTACCTTCTTTTCAACAGTTTTTATCCCGTCTGGTCTACTAGGGTCATCTCCTCCAACAAATAATTCTACCGATATCATTTCTTTGAAAAATATAAGTGAAGAAAACGTAATTAGGGCTTCGAAAAGATTAAAGAACAAAATGACGTCTGGATGTCATGGTATTCCAAGTTTTTTCGTTAAAGATTGCATTCATATACTAGCGAAACCGCTGGCTTCCATATTCAACCTAATTCTAAAATCAGAGACATATCCAAATATCTGGAAGACCTCTAAAATATGTCCTATTCACAAAAGTGGAGATATCTCTGATATTTCCAACTATCGTCAAATAGCAATCCTGTGCAATTTCAGCAAGTTGTTTGAGATCATCGCTTATGAAACGGTTTACTGCTTGGTCAGGGGTGCAGTCTCTATTAATCAGCATGGGTTTATGAGAGGCAGATCACGGTCACCAACTTGGCTCTAATTACTCAGTACATTTCTGAAGTACTGGACGGTCAGGGACAAGTTGATGTCATCTACACAGATATTCAGAAGGCGTTTGATTAAGTTGATCATTATGCACTTCTGGATAAGCATAAAACAGTGGGTATGTCTGATGCAATGCTGTCGCTCATGAATTCATATTTGAGGGATAGAAGGTTATTTGTCGAATATGGTGGTCATAGGTCGAGTTACTATCGGGCCACGTCTGGGGTACGTCAAGGGTCAAATCTGGGTCCATTATTGTTTTTAATATTTATTAATGACTTGTCTTTTGAACTGAAGTGTTTCCATTTGTTTTTCGCTGATGACCTTAAAATCTGCACGTCAGTCAAGATAGTCGAGGATTGCGTCATGTTGCAAGATGACTTAGCTCTAATTTCGTCATGGTGTTCACGAAACTGTCTCAGTCTGAATGTTTCGAAATGTAAAGTTATGACTTATACAAGAAAAGTTAACTATTTAATTTATGATAATTATAACATCAATGGTGAGGTTATAGACAGATGCACCTCTTATAGAGACCTTGGAGTCATTTTTGATACCAAGCCAACGTTTACCGACCATATACTCAATATCTCGTCGGCTGCCACTCGACTACTTGGTTTCTGTATCAGAAACTGGAAGGGTTTCTCCAATGTTGATACATTAATTACTTTATTTTTTACTTTTGTCAGGAGCAAGTTGGAGTATGCGACTCTGATCTGGTCTCCTATATACCAAAATTCTGTCGTGATCCTTGAGGCCATTCAACGTAAAGCTTTAAAGTATTTTCACCTTAAATGCACAGGTTCTTATCCAGAAAGAGGTTGTGACCATAGTGTTCTATTACAGTTTTTCAATTTGGATTCACTGTCAACAACACGAAACATATTTGCTTTGTCGTTTTTGTATGGCCTCATTCACAATAAAATTGACTCTCAAAATTTACTTGAAAAAATATGTTTCCGCGTTCCAAGGCTAGGGAGTCGACAACAAACGGCATTCTAGTCGCCAATTAATCTCATGTGCTGCGTCATAAACAGTGTTACTGAATCGTGTGATATTTACAGTGACAGTTGTGCATCGATTATTAACTGCTATAGATCATCCAATCTTATTTAGAATATAAGTCCAAGAACCATGTCTCTTTAATTGTTATTTTTTTCAGCGTGTCCTGTAATTGGGTTTCACCTGTTGGAAATAAATAAATAAATAAAGCGACCATTACAGAACTCGTACACAAAAATAATATCGGCGTACTCATCATTGCTAAATTCCATTTCACAACACTCAAAAATGGAAAAAAGAAACTTTTGACTTTTTACAAAAAAAAAATAAAATGGTAGTAGTAATGATAACAAGCGTATAACACAACTTTTATAAACTATCGCCCAAGAAACGTCAACTTGGTATCAATGCCTTCTGTTTTATTTTGAAACTAATTGTATCTCGGCTCTTTATGATTGATCTAATTTGTTTTATTTTTACGAAAACAGTGCCCTGCGCGAAAAAAACGGTGGCTTACTATTTTTATTTGGAAAAATAATGCCACTAATCCCCTGTATCGCCGCCACTGGTGCACGTTAATTTTAGGTAAAAACTTTTGAATGTGGACATTACTTAGGTAAATCCACTTACCAAATTCTAGTTCATTCCAGTTGACGGTTTTGACGATATTCAAAAACTGTTTTTTATTTTTAAACTTCAACACCCCGTATTTTTTGAATGAAGACCTCGAGGAAAAAATGTTACATAGAAGACCCTCCCTAAAATGCGGTCCTGTGCATGATGTTTCATTTTTGGTCACGACTTAATGAATTACCCTGTATACGCATACGCAAACCTTATAAGGAAACTGTCCCCCCTTTCTATTTCTATGAAAGCTAGCCTCGTTCTATCACCCATCCCATACACACAATCGACCTTGTGTTCCCCAATGTCGCCCGCCTTCGAGCCAAACACATCTCTTTAATTCCGGAAGTCCGGATTTTGCAACGGATGAACGGTTAAAAATAGGCGTCACGGTCAGCTACAGTTTAGGAATTCCATTTGGTGTGTATTTAGTATGTAGATTGCAGGAAGCAGGCACAAATACAAGGATCGTCAGGTCATACACTTAATTATTGGTGTAACCCTTGATCGCATCATTTTTGGTATGAACAATCAAGGTTTGGAAGCGTTGCAATACCTATCATCATAAGTGTACGTTAGCAATGTCATTAACGTATAAAGTAATATATTTTTGGCAGCTCTTCTAAAATTTCGTAAAACATTTGATGCAAACTAATTTATTTGTACAACATATACAAGGTGTCCACGATAATGATCCTATGCATGAGGATGTAAACATCTGTGGCAGATACAGCTCAGGTTAAACTAGAATAAGCTGGGTTCCTCGGGGCGGATTTACTTTTGAACATTTCATGGCTTACTAAGGTATTTGGAAAAACTAAATATGGCCAAATCATTTTTACTTTTTTCTGACTATTTTAAATATTAAAAAATTTATGGAACTTTTTCATTGGCACTTTTGTTGTCCGACGGTTCGTTTTTGAGAAACCATCGTTAAATTTAAAAATATATCTGATCGCAAATTGATGTTAGAATGTGTTCCAATATAGGTAAATAGTTGACTTGAGTGGTGTTTAAGAAGACAATTGTTTTTTAAAATAGTTGTCCATTAAAAATATGGGATTTTACGAATTTTGTATATGGACTTTTCCATTTATTTGAGGACATCCGGACAAAGTTTTCCACGTAGAAATACGTATTGCCGCTGTTGTTGAATCACTTTGTATTCGTAATGGGTAATCTATAGCAGAAAACCAGTGAAAATAAAAAATATACTGATGAGAGCTAGCCAATGACGGTTAGTAGAAAAAGCAGAGGAGCATGCATGAAATAAGTAAATCCTTACATGGGACAGAAAGAAAAACATAAAAAATCAATCAAAAAATGTTATAGCAGGACCGACCTTAGAATCTTGTCAGCTCATTTAGGGCATATATTATTATTAAAATTAACTGATCTAAGGCCGGCACTGCACATAATTTTCTTTATCAATGTATGTAGTGGGAAATAGTATAGCTAATAACTTTATCTAAAAGCTGTGCAAAAATTAATCCTAGAAAGAATGAACCCACTTGAGTGAAATACAATAAACAACAGAAAACACTTACACCGAATATGGCGCTAACTTCTGCATGAACTCCGGTCCTTCGAGTAGGGCACATTCTGCCGTCGCAGGGTAGGTCAAACTTGGCACCTAGACATAAAAAAACTTTCAAACAGCGATATCGTGGAAAAATATAGTATCGAATCCAGGAGAGTGTCCTGGGCGGTCCCCGAAATATCCGATTTCAAAAATCATCGAACGTGTTTTTCTGTTTGCACCACAAGAAGTACATATTCCTAAACATTAATCCTTAGCTCCCCCCCTCCATCAGCAGTTTTTTCAAGTTCATCATATGGATGCCCCGAAACAAAATTTCTATATGCGCCGCTGGTGATAACAAGGCAATGGATTATCGTTAACGTTTACGCATGCGGTATTTGTGGTTGCGAAGACTCTCCAAACACTCTGAATCAGTTATCATAAAGAAGTAAAAAATTAAAACTTGGATCAATATGCATTTTCAAACAATCTTCAGAATTGAATTAACTTTATTCTCTTTCTTTGGAACTTGCTAATGATTTATATACCCGTTTAGTGGTGAGGGTGCGTCTCAGAGTTATCAAAAATAAAAAAAAAAGGAATAGTTACATGGAAATACACAAAGCGTCAGATATTGATATTGTCTACAGGTTGTCCCAGAAGTCGACGTCAAGTCGGAAATGGAGGATAGGCAAAGTCTAGTTATCAGAAAAATATAAAAGAAGATGTGCACTTTTCAAATTACAGGCTTAAAAAAAATCGGGAAATTCGGACAAATCTTCACCCTGTGATAATCTTTTAGATGCCATTTCTACAAATCTCAATTTCTTCTTAGACGGAGTGACGGACAGTGTCATTCTACGTAGTCACAGCAAGACATATAGTCACTTTTATTAATTTGTGATTCTGTAGTGCCACCTGTGTACACCGTACAGGAATGCATCTCATTTATGGGAAATGCTACTCGTCATCCCGATCACCGATTTTTTGTGAATGTGCACCGTTTACTCTCCGAAGGACGAGGCATTACTATCTGTCTTGCTGATACTACATAGTCCGTCACTCCTTAAAAAAATTGAAATTTGTAGTAATGAGATCTGAAAGATCATGACAGGGTGGAGATTTCTGCGATTTATTCCATTTCTTTTAAACGTGAAAAGTACAGGACTTTTTCAGATGTTTTACTGCTAACTGTTATGACTTGGCCCATCCCCCGTGTCCGACTTGAAGGCAACTACTGGGTACACCCTATGCCTTATTCCCCACGCCCCAAGTGTCACTGATATTGGAAGTATGATAATATGTCGGTTTGTACCGAGTGGGCTATTGATAAAGAACGCCGGCTGTACTTCGGCAACCATTCAACCTAGAGCTATCGGTTAAAACATTTTATAACAAAAGTGATCAAGAGATATTCCTGAAAATTATTTTCAGCTCCATAAAATGGCTAGGGGTGTAACTATAACGTCAAAACTAAAAATGCGGTTTTTCTGAAAAATCCAAATGCAATAGAATTACTATTTTTCATTATTTAGAAAGTAAAAAAACTACATATTAGTGAAAACCGTATGTCGTTATATTCATTCGCGATAAAGCTTTTTTTACTGCACATATATGGTGGAGGTACTGAACGGGATGAATTTTTTATCAAAATGGGTGGTTATCCAATGGCTGTTTTCATTTCTAAAATGGTTGAGGATAGTTCAGCCATTTAGTTCGATAACTGTTATCTAATGATAATAATTTTCAACAAACCTTTTTCCTTTTGCACAACTCGTATTCACATTTTATGAGCATGTGTATGCAGTAGGTGCAAAGTAGGCCTATCGCCGTCGTGGCCACAATACCCAACGCCCAACCGGAATGGTGGAAGGCCAGTGGCATCGCCAGGATACCAGTGCCTAAACTGCCTTTCAGCAGATGGAGAAATGTCTCTGCATTCCTGCAAAAAAGAGAAAACGCTAAAACAAAGAACTATCCAACGTTTATGCTGTTCGTGCTATTGGTGGAAATTCGATTTTGTCTAATGGAAAACTTTCAACTCTTATTAGAAGCTCGATAGAATTGTCCTCCATTTCTAACGTTCCAAAATATGAAACCCTCCGAAACTTATTAAAACTCCTCTGTCAATCGCTATGTGTCCCGCTGTTATAGCTTTGATGCATTTCACCATGCTGGGCAGTACTGTGTTGAAATTACTTTCAGTGGTGTGCAACAAATCTTGGTAAACAGAAGCATAAGTTATAGACGATAGTAGAGAGTTTGTCAATATTAGAAGTATTGTAATCGCGAAAAATTGAGATATTATGTTTTTTGGATGTTATATGGCATGCACATCCTGAAAAACCATGTTACTCATTTCCGTCTGTCGGTCTGTCCGATAATTTTATAACCGCCTATAACCCTTGAAGTACCGCTCGGATTTCGAAGAAAATTTTACACAAGGTTACTACTAGCCAAGGATGAAAAAGCTTTTATATTTTTTGAAAATTGCAAGAACACTAAAAAAATTATCGGATTTTTTTTTTGTAGAAGTTGAAACTTGAGGGTTGGGGGTTGTAGGGGGTAGGCGGATGTCTTTAGTTTTGGTAAAAGACTTTCTATCATTAAGACGCTTCTGATCCAGGTAACAATGGATAAATTAAATGATAAAAGTCCGCGCGATGCTGCATCGTCGTGGATGCCTCTGCCGACTGTTCAATGGGTAACAAACTCCAACTGGTCTGCGGTGGTGTCGTCACTGACACACCGCTTTAGGAGAAACTTTTATATATTTTAGCAGTATTTATATGCTTTTGTAAATGATGACTTAACTGTTTTAATAGCTACACATATATTTTTCTAAATTTTATGATCCTTTATGATCCCATTTCGTTTAACCTTTAATTTGTGTGACTTTTTCTATGATGGTTCTTTGATCATTTCCTCAAGTAGATTGACTCAGTACTTATGACGCATTGATATACAACAGGCACGGACTGACAAACCGACATAAATGAGAAACACGGACTTGTTTGATACAGATATATTTAAGAAAACTTGTGAACCGAAGTTCAAATACTATCCCGAGTTTAATACTTCCATCATTTAGGTAGTAGTAGATTTTGAAAATTGAATCAGAGGCAGCGGAAATAAAATCGCCGGAACATATTGTTACAACATTTCAGATATTCCTGCTTATTCCCTGCATCTGCTATGGAAACAGAAATATACAGTTTGATATACAGAGGTCGGGGATTTATCGTTCGTAAGTGATAGGGCAATTATTGTGTTAATCTAAAGTTATTTGGACCACAGTAAAACAATAGCGATTACTTTCATACATCGATCTCCCTCAGATAACCGCATGAAGACGGCTTCTATGCCCAGACATTTGTCACTCGCAGTATGACAGGTTGAATTTACCTTTAGTTGGTCTTCGATACATAAATAAAAGACAACAGACCTCTGTTCTCTGTCACCCAATGAATGTGCGTGTGCAATTGCGAGTAGAAGCTGCGCTAAGGAATGGCTTGCGCAGAGTGCAATTTCCCTCAGGAAAGTTAAGCTCCACTCATGGTACAATTCTTTAATCTGTTGATATATTTCATATGACATGGTGACATAACCATAAAAACCGTGAAAATATCTATACATTTCTATGCCTTTTTACTATTAATAGCATGGTCATTTTGTAATAAAAGTCCAAACAGTGTAGGCAGCAGCGGTGGCGGCTGTGCGGGTTCGAATCCCGTCCCAGGAGAAATTTTTCTCTTGGCTATGAATGTTGTGATTTTCCGTAGGTGGTAGACGGTCTCTGACTGTCGAACGCGGAAGTACCACCCGGCGGATCTCGTAGGCGGAGCCAGAATGTGTGCATGTTGCATGCACACGTGTTCCCTCGCCAGTCCGTGTGGCGTTCCCCTTTATCCCTGTATCCCCATATAGCCCTACGGTACCCCATGGGTGTTTAGGCCTTAGGCCTTGGTGGTAGTTGGAGTATAAAAAAAAATAGTCGTGAAAACTAGCTCATAAACACAAATTATACATTTGGATTGCCCGTGGCTGGCGGCAAAGGTGCAGGTATGTCATAGGCGCGCGACGTATATTTTACCACGGATTGGCGGAAAACGTCAATAGCGGCTAATAAATAAATTTAACGAAGCAGTCGTTTGAATAAACTTTGTGTCAAGTAGGTTGACTCTATATCTCGCATACAGTTACTTTGATGAATTTCTTTTGCATCATAGTTCATATGGCATTAGGTCCGGAAATAAACCAACGATAATGTTATTGATGACAGAGTTGCGTGGATAATGGCCAGAGGCGTTATAAATATCCCAAACTTTTAACCTTATATTTTCCGGCACTAATAATAACGGGAAACAGTGGTTCAACAGATAAACAGTGAGCAGAGAGCAACACTTAAATAATACGTCGTTTACTTTGGCAATTAGTGGTTGTAGGTTTTAAAGAATGTATCTGAAAATGCTGCATACGCTACAGTATATACCAAAATAACCTATAAATACCCGTGTAAAAACAATCGACCGATAATATGTATGTATATCGTGTAACCTCCCACTGGGTTGAATATAAATACCAGCAATTGGCGCATACCTTTAACCAATTAAGTGTCATTATACTTTTCCAGATATAAATCTAGCTTGCGTAGCGTAAAAATTTCTCACAGCCACCTTCAAGTTAAATAAATAATGGGCTAAATGCAGGAAATCATTACAGTATATGTCAAAATTTCCCTGAATTGCGAAACACCATTTTTGCAGTGTTTTTCATTCTTGCCAATGACAGTATTGTGTAACCAAAGCGAGGTTATCTGCATTTTAATATTATTAAAAATTGTAATTGAGCGTTTTCCGTGTTTATCATAGCACTGTTTTTATTGAGAACTTATCGGTAAGATTTGATTGTAGGTTGTTAAACATTCGGCGCCTACGTATAACCCAACTAGCCCAGGTTACAGAGACAAAATTTTTAGCAGATATCTGAAAGTTTTAAATGCAAGGGGTGGTCTTTCTTACGACAAATACATGAAAAGATACAGTCAGATATGCGTTGTTTTTTATAAACAATGGGAAAAGTTCAAAATTCAGTATTTTGCTTGTGTAATTTTCAAATTAAATTTTATAAACAATCGGTAAGATTTTAGAGCATTAAAAGACCTTCAAAAATGTTTGTTGCTTATGAATCAAAACCGATAAACAATTAAGCGAAATACGGGCTTTTAAGCAATATTGAAGATATGAATTTAAAAAATATTATCTTCGCTCCTGTTGGTCGTAGACGGTTTTATAAAATAATGCGTTTTTTTAATTACCAACATTTTAATTAATCAACTTGTTAAAATAAATTATATTGAAAAATACGACGTTATTGTAAATGTTTATAACCAGAAAAATTGCTATTTTCAACATCATTCTTAATTTTTAAAGTTGAAACCTTCAAGAATATTTCACTTTTGTGAAATGTCCTTTTATAATTGATATTGCATTAGTTATAAAGATTTATTCAATATTGCTAAAAAGCCCGTATTTAATTGTTTATAGATTTCAATTCTTGAAAAACAAAATTGAAGGTCTTTTCATGCTCTAAAATCTCCAGCTTATCGATTATTTATAAAATTTAGATTATACAAGCCCATTGTTTGTAAAAAAACAACGCATATCTGGATGTATCTTTTTGTCATCCGAAATACCCACCACCCCTTCCAGTTGGCCCCTGGCCCTAGTCTATCCAGATAATCTGCACTCTCGTTACCTAATACTTCCACTGCGTATGGGAACCCAAAGCACGTCTTTGGATCGGGCTAAACTGTAAAGAGCAATAGTGCCTTTCTGAACTAGAGGTGAATTTTCCAGAGATGCCACTGCCTTCAAGGTTGATTGTTAGTCAGAGCATATAAATATTCGCCGTTCATTAAGACGGCAAAAAAACTGTTGTGCAGGTTCCAAGCTCGAAATTTTTCTGTACGCCTTTTGTCTTCCAGATTTTAGCCCTGTTCGTACAGCTGTCGCCAACCTGTCAGTGATCGTGACCAAGATCCCGCCACATAAATTCCGTTCATTCTACTAAGCTATATAGACAGAATTTACAAGGCCGCATCCCAGACACTGTCACCGAAAAGTCACCGACCACTGTACGAACAAACCGATAATCATGCCCCACAGGATCCTGTTAGATGCATATTTGGGGATTGATAATTCTATGACCTTTCACGTTCGTTGACGATTTGAATTTAGGAAAGTCCCCTCCCCAGGCTACTAAATTGTCGTCTCCCGTGCAATGACTTCTAAATCATTTCCACATGACAAATGGCCAATTTACGTTGAGTAAAAAATTATACCAGTCGTTGATGCTGTTAAAACAATTCGCTAAATATATCCTCTCTACTACATATGGCTTCCCCATATTATTGGGCTATTAAGCAGATTCGCAGTCGGTCTAAAAATATCCTTAATCAATCTTCAATTGACGGGTTAAGAAAGATAACGGTATACGTACGCCTTGAAAAGTTTCCTGGAAATGCGTTCTTCTGACATGCCGTGTGAGTTTTTCGTTATTTTACCATTATAGTTTATACATACAGTTTAGGATATTTTAAAATGGGGCACACGTACCTTGATAAGTAAGGCAAAAGCGATGATCGTTGGTTGAGAGTCAGGAACGAGTTTTTTGTCAGTAAAAACATTCCTGTGGCTCCTCAGCCTCCTTATTTGCCCGACTTCAGTCCTTGTGACTTCTTTATGCACGAGCTTGGAAAATCACCCCAAAGGAACTCATTTTGGGGCATTCGAAAACATTCAAACGACTTAACCGACCAGCTGAAGGCTATATGAGTACATATTCCAGTATCGGAGTTCCAGTACTATGAGGAGTGGAAGAACTGTCGCTAGCGCTGTGTGGTTTCAGAAGGAAGTTATTTCGAGAGCGACATTATAAAAT